AGATTCCTCCAATTATCAACGATTTTTCAGTCTAGTTTTCCAAGTGCTAGGATGGCACCTTCAGTGCAAAAGGGTGCAATGTTCCGTAACCGGGACTCGAACCCGGGTCGCCTGGGTGAAAGCCAGGTATCCTAACCATCTAGACTATTACGGACTATTGACATAGCCAGAAGAAAAACTTACTTTATTATATTCTTTTGCAAGAAAGATTTTGGGTTTTCTTTTTCACAAATGGTAAATTGTAAATTACTGGCGGGAATAATGGAAATTGGGTAGGCAAAAGCCATGTCTTGAAACGCAAGAGTTCTACCAAATCCAAGCATGATACTCAAATTCATCTCGAGTACAGAAGATTTACAATCTTGGGTATATTACTGACAACATTATATCTCAGCAGGCTCTTCATACGTTTGAAGAGCCTTGTTTGAAGCTCTTCACACGCTTTACACACGGTGCAATACTCTAACTCTAAGGTCTACGAGATACACTATTCAAGGAATCCTTAAACCATACGCATCGCAAGACTCTGACACATAATTTGCTGTATATAAACGAAGAGAGAAGACAGAGGCAAGCACCTTTGCGCTTGGGGCAATGACGCAGTTAGTGAGGTGAAACCGAGACGCGTCAATTGCTGGTTGAAAACTATTTCCAAACCCCCGCCCGTGCCTTAACCGGCGCGTGCGAATTTCTGGAAGGCCTGTATATCACGGGCCTCACAACGAACACAATTAGCACGATCGGGTCGTAAATACTATTCTCATCTGCTAGTATCGAGTAGAAGTGATCGGGAAACTTTACCCCAATCCCTACTTCCCTTATCGCAGCACGCTGAGATTGAACGAATTGACGCTCCACAGCGAGACCATCTCCTGGCGGCATATAACAAACTCGAGCAGCGATGAACCGCTGCAAAGTACCGAAGGATGCCGGGGAAGGTTGAGTACTGATTTACTGAATGGGTACAGAATTTAGTATATGATCTTCTTTTGGTGTAGCGGTAACCCGGTACAGTGAAATAATGTTGGCAAACTGAGTTTAACGAGGGACTGGTGGTTAGAGTCTAAAGTTCGATACTTGGGCAAGTGATGTCCATCTTGTAGAGTTGTAAACCTGGAGCCTGAACGAGGGTATGCAATTGTAATATGCAAGTATTCCTCGGTGTTATTTCAGAGGATCAAATAGGGTTCAAATTGATGTTCTTTGAATATTAGATCAAGTCTGACTTAATTTGTAATTCTGCTGGAAGGTGTTATTCCTCGGTGTTATTTCAGAGGATCAAATAGGGTTCAAATTGATGTTCTTTGAATATTAGATCAAGTCTGACTTAATTTGTAATTCTGCTGGAAGGTGTTATTCAAATTATACAGTTCGTGCACTGCAGAGCATCCAGCATAAGGGTGATGAATGTGCCATGGCGTTTCCTTGGTCCTTTGATAGAGATTTTCATCCAAGCATCCAAAGATGTTTCCTCTAATGAAAGACATATGCATTGTAGAGGCCTTGAAAGGATTTTTATTTTTCTAGATTTTCTTAAAGCTCACAAGGAAGATAATAAAGCGAATATTTTTTCCGAGCACATAGCTATCACATCACGACTAAAACTTATTTAAAATAAATTGTATTGCAATAAATATTTCAAATCTCCATGTATGTACAATATGTTAACATACTTATCGATGTAGTATATAAGTGATTCTAATATCAAACCAAAATCATTGAGTTATATGTTATCATGCTAGGTAACAGAGCCCAACATTGGGTGCCCATGCCCATGGGTTTTGGGTGACATTAGTTTTCCATGGGTGGGCACAAGTTATCCTATGGGCAGTGTTTGTCAGATCCAACCATGAAGTAGTGTAACCGAGTAATACACATAGCACAATTGGCTTTCTTTGAATAGCATGGGTGGAAACAGGTAATGCTATGGGTGGGCATAGGTCGCTGTTGATAGGTCTGGTCTGGGTACAAATTTGAAGTAAAATGTCAAGTAATATTTAAAATCACTACATACTTAAGATGAAACATTTAACTTCAAATACTTCCAACTGAATTCAACACTTTGAATTCTCCAGATGTCCTGAGACATGCAGCTGTGGTAGAGTCGAGTCTTATAAAGAAAAACATGGTTTTAAACGTTACAGTTCCAGACTGATGCGGCGGTCACCGCTCACGCACGGATTCATATGTACCCGTTTATTTGAACAGAGTCCTACTATTATACTGATGCGGAATCTGCAGTGACGGAAAGGTATGTATCCTAAATAACATTCATTTTCCTATTTTGATTACTTTATATACTTTGCATATGTGCAACCGCGATACAAAACAACACAAAAAGAAAACAATATAAAGGAAAAAGGAGATATAGGTTCAAATCCTTAAGACTACAGTTATGAAAACACAGGGGTAGCTTTTTTTTTAATTCAAGGGTGTTTCTAATGATTACCGTACTTGGTTCCACAAAGCTTTAACCATCACTCTTATGTGGTAGTGACAACTGATCCTAGCTATCTCATTAAGGAAACATTTTACCTATGATTAACTAGGAGTAAATTCAACGATCTTTACCTTGACTCTGGTATATGGATCCTTTAACTCTAATATAATTATATTAATTATATAACATTAATCACATAATATTTGATGGTGCTAACAAAGACACCGATGATCCACCTATCACAGTACGTTAAATATGACTCTAGATGAAACAATGACTTGTGAAAATTATAGATGAGTCATTAAGAAAAAATAATGCCAATGACATGCCACTTGCAGATGGATTATAAGAGGGAGAAATGTCATTCAAGTGAAATACATTCTCAGAAAATGAATGTTTTTACTATAAATACATTGAAATTTTCTTGCCACCTTTGTGCCACCCAAATTTAGATGCGTACATTTCTATGGATTACCTTCCCATTCTTACAACTCGCAAGCTAGCTTAGCTGTAAAGACCAGTTTCATTGTAAATCGCGAAAGTGGCTTTCACAATTTCCAAACACTTTTGGAAATGTCGGTACATGCCACTTTCTTTATACATAGGCTCACGCTTCAGGTCTAATAGTGCTGTTTTGACAGTTCAACTCTTCAAATATCAATAACTATTCTAACTCTAACTCAAGCAGATGAAATATATCTCTACCTGACTTCGTAGATTGTATTTCATAATCAATATCTTGCTTGGAAAGCAATAGGGTGCGACTACTAGATGACTACCTTAGTAACTTCAAGACACGACCTCTGAAGCTTTATGATCTGAATCAGATACAGTTGGAATTTCAAAGTCACCACTCACGTGAATATTTAAGGGAGAAGAGGTCTGAGAAGGCCTATTATTCCATTATATCTGCATGTATTGTTCAGGTGTGCTTGCAAGCCTTCCATGTTCTTACTTTTTAATTCGAACGATGGAAAAGCTATCATTCATCATCAAGAGTTACATCTGTGTATCAACTTATTCTTGTTTATTGCAATAGAATGTGCAATGGAAGAGAGAGCTGTGCGTATCTCCACTGGTAAGTCTAAAATACTCCATTGCAAACTTTAACGAGCTACTCCTCAAAAGGCTATAAATGTCATGAGTGCCTGGCCAAAACCAGTAACATAAAAGAGGACAAGGTGAAGCGCATTCGCTCCGTCCATCAGTATTCACCTCTGCTCATATTTCTCATATCTAGCAGCAAAACTATCCAAGAAAGCCCTGTCAATTCGGTCAGCAAAGTGTCTGAGTATTAGGGGAACCAGATATGATGTGAGAACTCTCGCTGGCAAAAAAGCTTCTTCGATGCCATGTGCCAAAGAAGATATTGTTGCGGGTAAGAGCGATCGTGACTCTTGACACACTGAAGAGTGTATCTACTCGTTCACGTGAGTTATTTCGACCCTATGACAAGCGAAAGAGGCCAATCAGCACCAGTTGCCATCCGCGGGTGCAATCTGGCGGGGTCTAGTTCAGGCCATCCCACTCACATACTTAACAATTTGAGTGTGGAATCTATATACACAGGATGTCAATAGATATATGGTCTTCATCTTCTTCTGTTGGATATGAACCAAATGAGGTAATTATAGATTTGGTTCCTAGAGAGTTGAGACAGAGATGACTGCCAGTAGTTCCGTGAACCTTGCGTAAGTGAATGCCATTTTAGCAGCACAACACAGTAGAGCTTAAGGGTTCGAAAACCCCAGGATAAACTTCTCGTCTTCGCAGACTAAGGTCATGAGCTATCATCAGAGCCTAAGGCTACATTCCTTATTCACCTGACTACTGGAAAAATTTTGTACAGAGTAAATGATCATCAAATTACATATGATTGCTCGTGCAAAATTTTGCACCTGCTATCATATTTTTAACTACATCGAACTGTAATCCCAGTCGACTCAACTGCCTCAGAGCTCACAGAATTTGCAGCTTTACGTAAATTCACTGAGCTTCAGGGATGTTTGTGGTCTGTCAGTTTCCTTATGACACCTTCAAAAGTGCCCGACTAGTTTTACTTTATGCGACTGTCTTGCAGTCGAGTATTGTGCTTGCGGGTGCTTGCAACAGCAGTGTCAATGGAGATAGGCCAGACTTGGAAACCATCCTGCAGATCAAATTCTACTACTTCGAACAGTTAAACAACTGCAATTCGGTATACGGGCAATTGTCCTGACTGTAAAGACAATTGGAAACCTGACAAGGGATTTTCCAGCGCGGAAATGGAAACATGCATTAATCTTTAATAAGCCTCTCGGTATCACATTTGCAACTTAAAGTCATCATCATTATAATGGATAATGATGAAATGGTTGAAACCATGAAAATAAATTTCATGATGTCCATTCTCTCAACGAAAGAGAGAATCGGTAACTCGAAGCGACAAAAACTGGATACGAACGCAAGCAGAACAGAACATCTTCATACAACCATCGAACATTTTCATCAGATTCAACAGACACAACATCCGAATCCACGAAATAGAGTACAGTTCCTCAACATCTTCAGAAAGACTGTTAAAGAACAAAAGGCCTGGGCGGAAACCACTGTGGCATTCACTATGAATGAAGGTGATGGAAATTACATTTGATACTTCATGGGAGGTTTCTGGATATATGGGAAGAAAGACTACAGGAGTTTCCGTTTTAGATCTCTAAGTGTGTGAGCGGACAGACTGGATGGAACTGTTCAGAAGAGACTGAACCTTTGACACTACTTGTTTGGTGAAGCTGTTGTACTGTGCGATCAAGTTACCAAGCTCAAACTTAGTGTCACTTGCCAGAATTCACTTGAACTTCGCGATGTGTCATTTTCTCTTTGCGCATCCCTCGTTATCTGTTCAAGCTCGGAATACCTCCCTTTGAGCCCTTCTGACAAGCAAATGCAGGCTCTTGAATTGCTACTGTGAGTGATGACCGTCTCTTATTCAGTCAAAGCACCCTTCAGCTCTCCACTTGCTTTCATCTCCATTATGATGTCACACCCTCCAAGAAGTTCTCCTTTGTGATATAGCTGAGGATACGTTGGCCAGTTGGAGAACGTCTTCAACCCTTGCCTTACCTCCTCGTCACTTAGAATATCAAAAGTTGAAAAGTCCACTTCTGTTTCCTTCAAGGCATTGACAACTTTCTTACTGAAGCCACACCTCGGCTCATCTTTGGTGCCCTTCATGAAAAGGATGTTCTCTGATGAGTTGATGAGATGTTTCAGTCTGTCATCCAGACTTGGCTTCTGCAGCAAACCATTCTCGGCAAATGTCTGCTTCAGCTCGCCATTTTGGTGCATCTCCATGATGATATCACATCCACCAATGAGCTCTCCTTTCACATAGAGCTGAGGATATGTGGGCCAGTTTGAAAATGCCTTCAACCCCTCTCTGACTTCGTTATCAGCGAGAATGTTGAAGGTACCAAACTCGGCACCAGTCTCCTTCATGGCGCCCACGACCTTGCGGCTAAATCCACACCTGGGCTCCTCCGGAGTACCTTTCATGAATAGCAGCACGGGCTTTGAGTTAACAAGACTCTTCAATCTTTGATTTAAATCGCTCTCTGCTTTGGCTGTTTCGCTTTGTAGAGTAGAGTCACCGTTGTCTGTAACAGCACCGTTGGTTGCTACCAATGTGCTCGTATCCACCACCATGGTGTCAGCAAGGACTTGTTTCAACTCACCGTTCTTGGACATTTCAAGGATTATATCAGATCCCCCAATGAGCTCACCCTTCACATATAGCTGAGGATATGTAGGCCAGTTAGAAAAAATCTTCAATCCCTGTCTCACGGCGTCGTTGCTTAGAATGTCGAAGCTTCCAAACTCAACTCCTTCGGCCTTTAGAGCATCGACCACCTTCCGACTAAATCCGCATCTTGGTTCTTCGGGGTTCCCCTTCATGAACAACATAATGGGCTTCGAAGTAATTAAAGATTGAATCTCCGCCTTCAGAAACTCATTGAGACCTGGGGATGGATCCTTGACGTCCTCTGCATGGTTGCCATTCGACTGGTGAGATTTTTGGGCCACTTCCAACACCATGGGTGCAGCACTCATACCCAAACTGGCAGGAGCAGCAGGTATTGTACCCGCAACAGGGGCACCTGCATGCTTTGCCACTTTGCTGGCGAGCTCAGGTGCATTGGCACCCTCCATTTTATCAACAACGGCTCCATCCTGAAAATTTGTCGAAGAATATGTTAAATGCGAAAATCTTAACGTCCTTACGTCGGGAGAAAGGACTTCTCTCTCAATACTGACAATTTATGATTGATATCGTCATATTGGAACACATGTTGATCTCGAAATGATATTTCAGGTTAGAAACGCAGATACATTTGAGATGTGCAAGACCTCAACAACCATCTAACTAGAGTACAATGGAATCTGAACTCTATGTATAAGGGACAGAATACAAGTCCAAAATGATTACGGTATGCACACATACAAGTGAAGATCTTAGATAGTTTGACCTCTCGGAATCCCACTTGTTAAGATTTGATCACTCTGTTCATCAAAGTATTTAAATCACGCAATATACTAATATCTAATGATCTTGAGAACCGATCTCGCACAAATCTCAGTTGTTCTTCTACATGCAACAAAACTATTACGTCTTCCACTGGCACAAGGTTCACTGTCAGTCTTTTGTTCCTTCAACAAGAGCAAAGATCTAGACTATGTGTCACCAAAAAAAAGCAGAAAACCTCCACGTCTAAACCATCACAATCGACGCTGCAGTGTGAAGGGACAAACCTTGAAGAAGAGAAAATATGGAACCGTTGTAACGCCAAAACACTCGGCTATTTCGGGCTGCTCTTCAGCTTCGACCTGAAATTTACATGTCTAATGTTATTGAAAAGAGTAATAGATCGCCCTGGCTGTAAATGCACAATTCTACAATGAGGATAACACTCGAAAATAACACCTCGATTTTCGTTTTTACTGGACTGCATAAGAAAAGGAGGTACTGGTTTGAAGAGCAGAGCGCATTCAACGTTCTCTGGCCACTTGTGCAAGGGAGACTCAAATCTTGACTTTCAAATTGTAAACCTAATTCTTCTTTCAAGGATCAGTAGGAGATGTAGATCTTCAAATTCGAGTAGAAGGTGGGTGCGAATGATACCGGACAATATTACTTTCTCCGGAAGTTCACAAATGTTCACCATTAAACCTCCCAAAAACCCTCGGGAAACAAAATTGTGCGCAGAAATCTAACTGGTCATACGAATTGACTAGGGGCGATAAAATTGTGCGAGTGCGAATAACGAGACATGAACAAGGATTCTATGAAATTCTCATCCTAGCAGCAAGGAAAGGTATGGTCGCCATGATGTTAGAATATTAAATTTGAAAAACTGCAGCATGTAGTAACATTAAATACTTGGTGGTCAAGTCGATCAAAAAAACATTTAATCCACAGTTCTCAGTAAAGAAAGCACAACATGAAGGTGATTGGAAGGAAAGTCTCCCCATTTTTAAAAAAATCCAAGGAGGAATTAAAGACACAACAAGTCAAACCCTCACAAACTACAGGGGCGATGAAGAATTTTGAGAGCTTTGATAGCATAAAAAACTGGACTCTGCAAAACTTGACAACCAAAATTCTCGCGCTTAAACCCCACAGAGCCAGACGTGTGAGATAACCAGACTCAAAATCAAGAACACAGCGAGCGCATACCCGGAAGAACTGGGCGTATGGAGTATCCACCGCGAGCTGCGCGAAAACTTCATCCATGTGTTTGGAAGGTTCGCACCATGAGGCCCAAAAGTGAGCAAAGGCCGGGCCGCCCTGGGCGACGGCAGAATCCAGCTCCGCCTTCGATTCCACGTTCTTCACAGCCCAACCGGTCGTCATCTCACCGACTCTCTTGTCACAAATGCTCAGCAGTTCGAAAGCGAAAGCCAACCCAACAAAAGGTCGTTGTCTTGCCTTCGTGAAACTCGTCAGAAAGGAGAAAGAAATCCACCGCTTCCTTCCTCTTCTTCTCCTTCAAAGTCCCGGATCTGTCTGCCTGTCTGTCTTTCTCGTGTCTTCTTTCCTTTGGGAAGAATACTAGTCGTTCTGCTCAGACAGAGACACATGCATCACACGAATCTCGGGGGATTCGGTCTCAATCGCTCATAGATCCCTGAGCAATAGCGGAATTCGGGCCCTCTTACATACTGGTCTCGAAATGAATGCATCGCCCTCTTTCTGGGCTGCTTTCCGCCATAGCCTTCCAACGAGCCGGACAAATCAGTGCCTTGTCGTCTCACGGACCAACGTAAAAAACATAATAAAAATTAGAATATTCAAATAAACGAATAAGTAAACTGTTCCACTTTCACTAGCTCACGTAACTCCCCGCGCCAGCTGAGTTTTCCGTCTCCTTTCCGTGGGGTGTCTGTTACGCTCCGTCCGTTATCGCTGCGGCGTATGGCGATAGAAGTGAACCATGCGACGAGCGCACGGTTCCATGCCCCCTCCATGCATCCGACACACGCCCTCATCATTTCACGTCGTGCATTATTACACACTCACGCAAATCTCCACCCTACTCTCGCTTCCTTATTTTCGCTATCGGATCGCGGATGGCCCTCCTCAGATGCGTTGGTAACAGCTATGCATTCTCCCTTTGCTGCCTTGCTCCTCTCGTTCGAGCGCGACGACGAGCCTCATCGCGACGGCCGCCGTCGCTCCATGACCCGATCAGGCGCTCCGGTGTGAGCCTGCAGTTCTGTCCTGCTGGCATTATCTGGAGCCCTGGAATTAGCTCTCTCCTTTTCTTTCTGCCTCATCGGTCCTTCCTTTCCCGTGGTACGTCTGGCGATGTGGTTGCCTCGCGCTTTATTTTATGAAACTCGGCATGGCTTTTACTGTGCTTCAATTGACCTTCAATACTTTGGTTCTTGTTTTGGCCATTGCCAATTGCCAAGAGTTTATGTCATATTTCCACCATCGGTGAGTTATTTCAGTTCTACATTTTGCCCATTTCTTTACATCTTCCTTCCTCGGCCTAGTGCATGAGAACTCCAAAACGCTTTCGATTTTGGTTTTTCTCTAAATATTTTCCACATCTTTCGCCACCATTGTGGCAACCTTCTTAACCCTCTTAGTAGGGCTCAAGTTTAGGACTAGAAATTTCTTCGTGATCCTCACGGAAGGAATCTCTAGCCTTTCCTTCATTTGAATTTTCATAAAGAATCTCATACATACGAGGATGTAAACCGAATAAATTTGAAATTTTTTTCCATTTCCAATTCTCCGCTGACTATTCATGAAGAAAAATTAAATGAAGAAAATAAATGTGGGCATTGAGATTATTCTGCGTTCCATACCTTAATCATCACATAGTCATATGTATATCTTGGAAAGTCAGATACTAATGTTGGTAAAGCATGAAATAATAAATAGATTTGTGATATACTACTGAAATTTGTAGAGGATGGGGGTGAAATAATGGAGCATACCGTGGAACGTACTCGGCTGCATGAGTGGCATATTAAAATAGTGAATAGCAAACCCCCTGGCAGCTCCAAGTAATATTGAGGGTGAAGAACGTACAGTATCTACGGTGTACCACAGTAGGCATGTGCTTAGTGAATAGCAACAAGAGGTTACAACAAAAAGTCATCATTGTCAAAAAGTCACAAAGCGCCCGTTGTTTTATAAAACCACTGCTACAAGGTATCTTCAAAAGAATAAAGTAGGACCCTTCTGTACGAGTTAGTTTGGTGGTTTTCTCTTTGATTTGTTGTACGTATGTACTTCCCTCCCGATGTCATTTTCTCTAACGAGTTGATCAATCTAGCATGTTTACTTTTACCACATCTGACTTTATCATTAGGATGAGATGGACAGAGAACTAGATTATTGTGATTACTGTAATTCTTCACATTGTCCCCGAGTCAAATATAACGTAAATAATAGCACCAAACTGTGGAATAAACAGAAGAGATACTTCTTTGAGAAATACTATCAATAATGCATTCTTTAAAGCTAGGAAAAAAATTAAAGATTTTCGTAGGCATAGAATGCTTTTGTCAGACCAGTTTGCAACCATATAAGAAAAATGAGCACTTTCAAAATCCTTTTTGAGCTGTGTACCTTACCTTAAAGCGTAAAGAGTGAACCTATGCCTTCAAACCAGTTCACTTTAATTTTTAAAGCAGACAGGAATTTTTGAAATTCTGGCATATAGACATATACAATGTATTCTTCCGGCTTAAAGTTCTTATGCAGTTAGAAATATGCATTAAGGAGAGAATTTATCATTGCTTCGGTCCGTTCTTCATAGTTTTGTACATCTGTATCTTCCCTTTTTCTATAGTCTGGATGAACAACAATCAAAATTCTGTTCGTGCAGTTGTGTATGTTGTGCGTATTTCCTTACCTGCATCAAATGCTCTCATGACTTCTTTAGTCAAATTGTTGATGAGCGCAGCGCGTGTGGAGATGTAGATCATTATTTGAAATGCATTATACTCAATGGTGAGCAGTTATTTAAAAATAGGAAGCTTCTTCTGAAGGTATGTGTATCTACTGAGTCAAGTGTTACGCATTCTGGTTTTAAATCTTCTGTTTTCTGCCTCAAAGGAAAGATTACATGGAGCAACAAATCTCCTTAGACATATGTCCAATCTTTGTCATTCAAGATAAATCGTGTCATGTTCTGTAGAAGTTCTCCATAGAATCATTGATAGTGATGAAATACGTTAACTGTGAAAATCCATACTCTTAAACCACTAGGGAGGTTCTAATCTGGAGCGCCATATTTTAACAACTCAGGGAGAAAAGAGTGAGAGGGAGAGTACGATGTATAATAAATACGAAGATCTCATTGTGTGACTTGTTTGGATGTAGATGTATTGGTTAGAAATCCTCAGGGATAGCATAAGCTATCTTCGGGGATAGTGGATAGAACTCACGAAGAGAGGGAAGGTGAGGTTGGTACTTTCCGTCAGAACATTCATTGGACAGAGTGAGACTGGCATACCTCGTACTTCTGTCAGTACATTACTCTACAGCAGGAGTTGCTCACCTTCTTCCCGTCCTCCTGTCGTACCATACGACTTTCCCCTTCTTTTGTCTGTCTCTAACATTCCTTACCTTCCTCGAAGCCGTAGGCGTAAATTTGTAGTCGCGCTGTACATTCTGATACTTCTGACGAGTTCTGAATGTTTTCAGGCGTTCGTCATGGACACTTGTCTCATCCGATGCAAATCCTTCTCTGTCTCTGCAGTGTCGAAGCATGGTTACGATAACCATGCTTACCGGGGATAACCATGCTACGCACGGTTCAAGCGAGTCTACTGTATTTCCTTTATAGCTTTACCACCGTTTATCATTATGAAATTATGACATGATTGTCTTTCGTGTCTTCTCAATACTCAAATTCATCATTCCAGGCAGTTTCGATGTCATGTAGGCTGAAGATTTGGCTTCCAGTACAGGGTGGTAATCTGCAGCTTGATGATTGCATCCATATACTCTTAGACAGGCACGGCGTTGAAGTCAAATCGGATTTTGGATATAAGTCTAAGTTCAGTAGATGGGAATCATTCGAGGCAATTGATGTCCTATGAGAGCTGGGTTGTGAAGCCCTCATTGACCAAAAGACTTACATCATTGTTTCATAACATATTTGTTTCTGCAATGGTGTTTGCTTCTACCATGTCATTGAATAAAGAGGTACAAACTTCCAGACTCAGAGAGGGCTGTGTTGTACTCGAGTCTTCTTGGAGTGGAGATGTTGTACCTGTACGGCTTGATGGGGTCTTTTTCCCATCCTTTTTGCTATATTATTTCGTCCCTCTTCTGTGAATGGAGGACATGTCTTTGAGAACCCTTTTTAATTCTTCCTAGTATCAGTTACAAACAAGGGGAAGTTGGCGGCCCGGGGTTATTCTCTTCAACTAGGTTGTGGCTGAGAATCAGCCGACTGAAAAGGCTACGAGTAACAACACATAATATTCCGAATAGAGAATCGAGTATAGTATATTCAGCAAGGTTTTACCGAATAAAAGTTGTGATTCAAAGCTCTAAACATTGCTGTACTAAGCTTAGACTTAAAAAGTGTGTCAAAACAGCAAGTAGGTTAGAAACGCCGCAGGCAAAGTTTTCTTCTAAAGTCGTTCGAGAGGATAATGGAGCTTTATATTTCAGATCCTCCTGTATGGATGAGTTTCATGGGATAAGACTTAGCCAAGTTTGACAATACTTTACAATTCATCCAAAGGAAGGGACCAAAGGAAGGGACCAAAACTCTCAAAAACTTCTTGATTGGACAATCTATCAAATGCCTTGTAGCTATTTTTGGAAGAGCCGGATGCACAAGTTTATTATCCTTGATTCTCTGTGCAATAATATGAAATTTTGCACAAATATGACGAAATCGTTCTCAGAGCCATATGTAAGAACAAATTATCATGCACTGTACATGTTGTAGGGGCTGTCTCCTTTGCTCCACTGAGCCCATTCACTGTGAACTCATCGTCTAGTGCCGTCCTGAAATGTGCTTTTCTTCTCAAAACAAGTGTGACTGCTGTCAACTTTCTGGACGAATGTGACACATCTATTTGTGAAGTCTACTGGTAGTTCCAAACAAGTCTAGGTGCATCAAATCACAAAAAATAGCAAAGTAATATTCTCGTTGTAAGTATTGCGAATCAATGAAGGTGAATGTCTTCATAAAAGTTAATAATGAATATTAACCACAAATACGACCACAAAGATCCCATAGAGCTATTGCTCTTGACGTCCCTGCGCTAGCTCCAAGAGCTGTTCGAACACACACTTCAGAGACATCATTGTTCTACTACACGAACAAGGCTGCTGCGATCAGAGGGCAGTCGACACATACGGACGATCTGGGTGCTGTCCTTTAGAAGAAAGACAAATATAACAAGGCCATCGAAAAGAGAACAGTGATCGGAGCAGAAAAGGATATTACTCGAGAGAAGTGCCCACATTTCATTCACCGTGTAAGTCAACGTTGCTGATGAAGAATATGATGATGATGTCAAACTTGTTGGACTTTTCTAAGTTCAGGTGATAAGATCTTACTCGATTATCAGTTGCATATGGTTGTCGCTTGTAATTGAGCTTATCTCTCACTATTCGACAGTTTATCGCAGGTGGTGGTTGGAAATCGATCTCAGCAAAAGGCATGAGGTCGATACGTTTGGCTTGCGTACGATGCTCACTTTTCTCCCTCGCCCTCCGACGATCCGCTTCAAAGCTTCGGACAACTGAAGGAAAATCTTTTAATTTGGGACCACATTGACTGACTTGATCGGATCGATCTGTTCATAATTTGGCCTTACTCATTGGGAAAGTAACTGCTTGTTTTATCTAAACACAATTTTTTTGGAATGCGCAAATATAGAAACTTTCCAGTGACGAGGGACACTTCATGGGAGTACAGTTGTCTCTGTGGTGTGAATTCTTCGGTCTCCTCTACAGTTGCTTGACCGAATGTTGTCAAATGCCTGGTTTGGATTGTCCATGAAGTGCGCAGTTGAATAACAGTTTCGCTCTTACCCCCGTGAAACCCATACGTATTTCATTGCTGGCGAATCTTGGCAACCAGATCAGACTGTCTCAAAACCCCGCGCTTCCAGTTTCACCGTATATTCTTCCTCAAGAGTCGACGCCACTGATACTACTTTCCGTCAAAATTCCGAAAATCTAGCGTTAAAATATGGTAGACTGCATCTGCAATACAGCGGGAATGCAGTGTCTTAGAGGCCACACCAAATAATGTATTGATATCAATGTAACAGCATGTCAATTGTTGAAATGAGTTTTGTAAGTCGATGTTTGCAAAGTTTAATGAAGAAACCTCGTTACCATGGCAATTTCACCAACAAAATCAAAGAACATTCAGCCACTCCAGCCTATAAAATAACCAGATTCTAAGCACTAGGGAACTCTAGTTATTACCTTCCACACTTCTACCTGCTTTAGCAGGTCAAAGATTGAGCGATTCGAATCGTAAGACTGATCACACGTTTTGAGGTCATCATCCTTCAATGTACAAAGTGAAGACTAAAAAGTTCCAAATATGAGAGTATCGACGGCCAGACATGAGATACAGCTCCAAAATTAATCACCACTTCTTTATTTTTGCCGCTTGCACGGCCGTATGGTAAGTCAAAACAAGAGCGAATGTCCCACAACCGTGCTGCAACGCTCTAAGACCGAGACCTCTTCTTAAGAAATGTCGATCGAAGGGGCTGAATCCCACTATGCTTTCGAACCAGCTACCTGGTGCCTTCCACTTCAGCATTTTTCTCTCCATCGTCAAATACTGCGAAACAGACAGTAATAATATTATTGACATCCTGAACACTTCTCCTTCCTGTCTAGGAAAGACTCAGATCTATAGGTTAATCCTCACAATCCGATGTGTAAAAAGCAGATGGACCAGTGAAAAAGAATCGAAGTGTACCTTCGGCACAACGGTGGCTTGAAGTCTAGTCTTTGCGGAGTCGAAAGAATGTGAAGCTGTGGCTGCAAATGAAGCGACTATACCTGCTGTGATGCTTAGCTGCCAAGGTGACGACGGACTTACATCATCCCAAGACCTGTTGATCCAGCACAGATGTAAGCATATTATCAGACCAATAGAGAGCAACTTCAAATAGGCAGATCAACTGACGAGATCTAAGAAAGAAACATGTCTCTCATGTCATCTTGATTTGAGCATCCCCGAAACCTCAGTCCATAGATCCATCAATTTCAAAATTTAGTCGACTCAACAAGAAAAGATGTTCAAAATAAGGGAATATGCAGTGGAAGAGATACTTACGTCGGTGGAGGATTCATCATATACGCCCTTCCTTCCGTTGCAAGATCATCCAGGAACTGCCAGCCACAAAAGAAGAATCCGCCATACATGGCATCCCGATACAGACCAGGACGAAGCCCTCTCCAGAGAACATTCAAGCCTTCTAAACCAACGGCCCCTCTAAGACCTCCAACATCCTTCACAAGTGGTGGTTGGCCAGAGCCTGTGGCTAACCAAGGATACTTCCTCAAATCTGCAGTAATGTCAGGGGATCGAGAAGGTAATAGAGAAAGCGAACGTCTGATTCGATCCCAATGGGGACCGTCAGGAATATTTGTAGGCAGGTTGGGTTGGGCTTTATGTGCATTAAGCTTTACAGTCTCTCCTTGTACTTTGATTACACCAGTGGTTGCACTAGTAATCTGTGCCCTAACCTTCAGGATATCAAATGGGGTAGAGACAAGAGATTCAACTGCCCCAGCAGTGAGACCGCCGAGAAAAGACTCTGACAAGCTTACGTAGCTGTCACTACGTCCATCTGCACATCGCAAGAAAGTGGCATGAGGTCTTTCCATCCAAGAATGAAGGACTATCTCAACCTTACTGCCAGCTTTCCAAAACTTCTATCCCAAACTGTTCCGTCTCTTGCGTTTCAAGAGTCAACATGTAGCGTCTGATGAAGTGGAGACAACTTAAATGCTGGAAACTCAGGTACTTGCATCTGAAAGCGGATATGAACATCCACAAAGACTTGACAATCAATATTCCAGGCTAAGTGGCAGTACCCGCGTAGAATGCTGTCATGAGCTCATAAACTCCAAATCGTAATCCCAAAGAGGAGAGTCGACCCAGAAGCTGCCATCCTACACCTCCATATAGACCTGAAAAACCAAAAAAGCCATATAATATCAGGCGAAGCTAATTCTATTTGTGGGCTCTTATTCCAAAGCTCCCCGGAACTTGGTCTTCCAGTGAGATCACTCTTCTCGTCATAGACAACAACAAGTGCAGGGCAGAACTGTCACCACATATGAGAAGGAAAGAGGAGCTCTAACATGAATGCGGACCATTTTCTCCCTTACAATCAAGATCTACGTTTAAAGTAATGAAAGTAATGGTAAGAGGAAGACTTGATAAATTGTCTAGCCAGATAATCCGTATATAATGGATGTAGAAAGCTACGCAACTTGTGAGCAGTCGACCGTATATTCTAGTGACAATATACAGGTACGAAAAGGGGTGTCAAAACAAACATGAAGAGCTACGGTTTTTGACTGATATATATTAAAAAAGAAAGAGACTACATACCTGTAAACCCAGAGGATTTAGACACTCCTTCAACCACCGCAGAAACATCCAATTTCCTTCCCGCATTTGCATTCACCTGCTAGGATGAATAAGCACATTTATGAGGAACTGAATTCCATGTTAGCTTTAGTATCTTCAGTCCAAGGAGTTCAGATTGACCAGTCAAAGAACCACACGAGAGAAACATCACTCAGTTTCTTTCAGAATCAGACCTCGTCACAATTCTAATTCGCTCGACATTTTGCAAGTAATGTAATTTCTGGTAAGTACTAAAACACTGGACCCTTAACTCACATCAACAAGGGAACGTTAGTCATGGCTAGATAAGACAGTGAACAAGAGACATTTCCATTCACAGACCACGAAGCAGATTCCAAACTCCTCATGCTGATCACACATTTTACAGAAAAAAAGCTAAATGTCAAGGGCTACAAGGCTTCCTAACAGCAACAACTCTGAAACTTGAATAATATTCATGACTACGCAGAATCACAACGGGCTCTCTTATATGCTGGATAGATTTTCAAGAGATGCAATTCAGCTCCCTGACACATGTTCACGATGCAGAGAAATTTAATTCTGCTGATCACTTTGTGGACGAAGAAGTCTGACCTGCAGCAGAGTCTTGAGCGTATCGATCGGATAAAAGAAAGCAGTCTCTGTAGCGACTGCTCCAACAAAAGCTGCCCCATGTCTGACGAAGAGTGCTTTACGGGACTCTTCAATCGCATTCGGTGACAACCCCATAGCTCAATTACATAATTCAGATTGCGTTTGCAAAGCGCTCCATTCGAAATCCCAACACAAACTTCGAGGACATGCAGGAATCAGTGCATACTGATGATGCGGATAGAAATTAATCCATCACAATTCCTCGAGGAAAATTACCCCCGAAAAGCACAAAAAATAATTTGGGGCACGAATGAGTGGCAATCTTCGACGATCTATCAAATAAAAAGCAGACCCGAGCTGGCGTAAATTAGCAGCATCTGAAACACTGAATTTCATCGACCGCTGCTGTAGTCGGGTAAGCGAAATTCACATCCACAAGACATCGCTCTTGTCAATTCCACAGACCTCGAATTCTCAACGTTACAGTAGGCAGAACTCCATCGGATTGCAACCACAGCCTCTGCGCTACGCATTCAAATCCGATCTACATATTCCACACGTGATCCAAAGAATTCTGAATCTGGAAGTACGAGTATAGTTGAATTCAACATGACTGTCAGTCAACTGTTACTCTTTCTCTAGGGTTTCGCTAGATTTGGCGGCCTTCTTCACGTCGCGTCTCTCGCGTTTGAAAGTCTCGCTCCTTCTGGCTTCCCCCTGGACTCCGGCTTATTTACCCAAACCACCAACTTTGGAGGCGAACCCCGCCAGAAGTCGTCTCTCTCCCGGCGGCAGTGCGACGTGAGAACCAGCAGTCGAAACGTCGAGCGCTGCCTCGGGAAGAAGTCGGACGCATCTCACGGCGGGACTGGACGACGGCGGGAGCGAAGCGCAGTGATAGAAAGCAGAGGAAGGCGACTACAAGAGATTAAGGGCGCGCTTATTCTGCCTCCTCTTTCGATCTCTCTTCTTCCTCCCGGCGAGTGGCGATGAGCGATGGCGGGCAGCGACTTCGTGGGCCGTGAGGAGAAACATTGCCCCAACATGCGCTTGATCGAAGACGGCTGTTTTTACAACTAGTCCGTCGATGCCGATTGCGGTTTTCAATCTGAGAGACCTGCTTGTTGCCCGCTGTCGATGCCTCTGCTCGGCGGAGCCTAAGGATTAAACTGCACTTCCTGTGAGATCTTTTCCTGCTCTTCTCTGCGGAGGGACTGGGCTTGTATATCGCAGCGAGTGCTTGTGCCGCAGTCGTTGAAGTGGAGGTTCTTATTTTGAGAATTTCTGCTCCGGTTGGTGGCGCTCGTGTTTAGATGTGCTTTGTGCATCGAAAACATTATGAAGGCCAATTCTGTCGATAGGCGTAGCTGTAGATGTTTAGGGGATGAACTGCGTTGCCGTGCAGACGATTTGAGGTAGTTCATGTCTCGAGTAACACGCAAATTTAGCTAGAGCGGAACTTCGTATTGCTGTAAGTGATAGGGATCCCAAAGGGCGGGAACATGAACAATTCAAATATCGTGTCAAGAAGCCCGAAATGCAGCAGTGCTTGGACGCATTCCATGAATAAAAATGAGTTTCAAGTACCTAATTGTGCGTCGTTATACCTGAATGTGGATGTTGAAAACCAGAATTGCACCAGGCGCCAACCCAGTGATCAGTACTACTATATATGCCGTCTGTTCCCTTCGTACGTACTGCAAAACTCTTGTTGTGCACTTGGCGATGGTTTACAATGGCTCTTTGCAGTCAGTACTTAATGCTTCGATTTGAGGTCATCCGTCTGGCATGCTTCATACAATTTTGCTGAATGAAGAAACCCACTTCGAAAGGATGAAACCGTCACGGTTAGAAAAAAAAAGGTTATAGAAATTTGTGTCTTGTACCATCTCCCAATTGCGACGTCAATAATAGAGGTGGGGACATCCACATGTAGGCGTAGCATGACTGCTGGGCACCGCTGTGATATGTAGCATATCCGCCGCTGAGCTGGGGATCACGACACCAAATTTTATCTTCTAAACTTTAACCTGTACAAGACCCGACTTGTGTAGGCATGACCCTAAACTTGAGGCTTACGGAAGAGTCTGATGGTACAGGGAATCGACGTACCATCAGACTGTCTTTTTTGACCCTGTCTGCAAGTAATCTCGAGCTCAAATAGAGGAGGAGAACACACCGATTTCAGATTCATTCGTAGAAACTTCTGCCAGTCTGCTCGTAAGAAATGGGAGCTTCTGTAACCGCTGTTTGCCTCAGCCAGGATCATACGTTCAGCAAAGGTAGTCAGTACAGCATTCGGCTTCTGACAGGTGAGGGGGTTGCAGGAGATGCTCACTGCGGGAAGTATGTGCAGCATGTTCACCACAAGAAAATAGATGCGAGCCAACCCAATCTACGCCAGGTGCACATTATTCAGGCGGAATTGCATGATGAGTTGCAGTCTGCTGGGCTGAATGTGGCGCCAGGACAAATGGGAGAGAACATCACCATTCGGGGAGTGGACATTATTTCACTTCCGCTGGGAACGCGATTGAAAATTGGATCTACCGCCGTTGTTGAGCTCACAGGTCTCCGCAGTACATGCGCCAAGCTGAACAAAATTCACAGTGGTCTGCTGAAGGCCGTGCAGCCTTATGATCACAATGGGAACGTCATGCCCAGGGCGGGAGTAATGTCGATTGTCGTCAGAGGAGCTGAAGTACGCCCTGGAGATCCGATCCAGGTGGAACTACCAAATTATCCTCATCAGCCACTTCCTGTGTTGTAAGCTTTGGGCAGATGTTCAGCCCGAGTCCGGTTTGAACATCTTGTGCATTGCATATATAAACGACGATGTCTTTATTCCGACAAGAGCTAGAAGTACAGACATTTCCAGTACTTTTCCTACTGTGTTGACTGCTACTTTCACAAACTCCTGCATCTTTACCTACATAAATGTGGGTGCAACTACATGGCTACTTCAGTTTGTAATGCTAGAAGAGTTCGAATAGTAAAGAATGGTTTAGTACTACATGTGTATTACAAGAGGTCTATGGACATGATTCGCTTTTCCCTGAAGTGTACATGTCTGACAGACTGTGTCCTTATCAACCTCAACTGAGGAGAAATCTCAGGACACGAGAATTGAACTGTCCAGGTTTTTCGATCTGAGGAACATGCCCAGCACCTTCGATGAACTCTAATTCTGCTGATTCGCCCAGATGCCTGTGAAAGGCACATACAAGTACCCGTCAGCCTCTGCAATCAAAGCACATCAAATTAGCTGGTGAACCCAAAACTATTGAATGGTATAACTCACCGTTTCAACTGATGGGCAAGATCGGGATCAAAAATTTTATCCTCAGTACCCCACAAGATGAAGACTTTCTGCACATCACAATCACTGTCAGTCTCCGCCTCTCGTTAGGCACCAATTCTTAAGGCTGCAGCTTGTCAAAAAGGATATACCTTGTCAATAGCCGGAAGGGGAGGGGCGCCAACCGAACCAATTATCATCCCGTCTAATAATTCCTCCTTTTCTTTCCGGTTCCTTCGGTAAAAATTCTGCTCACAGATTACCTCGTTAGAGTGAGCCGATGAATGATGACGGAATTGCTCACTTTATCTACAACACCTTAGAGAGAGAGTACCTGGAACATGTCTTCGAGCACGAAGGAAGGAACCAAGTCAATCCTCCATACAGTGGCTGTGGACAAGCCCCGCCTCATGCCCTCGAGATCATTTGGTACAAGGAGTTTCTTCACAGAATTGACTTTCGTTAGCTTATACAGTCTCTCGTTTGTTTTATGAGTCATCATCACCCCTGAACTGGCCACAACCACTTTGTTCACGAGTTCAGGATACACCGAGGCCAGGCGGTATGCCACCATCCCCCCGTAGCTCGTTCCTACTAGATCGACGCGATCCACCTTGAGCACATCCAGCATTTTCTTCAAACAATCAGCCTGGAAGATTTCTGATCTCTCCGAACGAGTGGTGTATGATTTACCAAAGAATAAAAGATCTGGGACATACACATTGAAGTCATTAGAAAACGCGTGGACTTGTCTGTCCCAGCCCATCGTGCCATCCATTCCAAAGCCTTGTATGAGCATTAGTGCAGGCTTTCGTGCAGATGCTGGAGTTTCACGTGGAACCCAGCAGTGTATAGTTGTCGCACCACCGTCGATTTCCACTAGCCTTGACTCAAGACCCAATCCCTTGTACCCTCCTTCGATAAACTTCTTCCTCCAATACACCCATGGTATCGTTACACTGCAGGACAGAAATACTTACGCTGTCAGAGTATAAACTTCCATGGCAACGGGCGGACTTTAATCTTAGAAATCTGTAGAGCAAGCAGTTTGAAAATAGAGGGCTATGCTTCATAATCTTTCTTCCTTTTGACCTGTGCTTCAACTAATCGACGAAACCATAAGCTACCCCGAGAATGTTTAACTTGGATTGCAGAATGACAGGCATAGGTACATTGGATCTATCTGGCTCCGTACTGAATTTCTGAAAACCTCCGATTCATCATCGTATCAAGTAAACCGGTTGAAGGTGGAAATGTCCTCAAATAGTATTCTAGAAAATAGGTCCCGCACTTCTACTGCATAGGATTCGCCCATCCCACCATCGAGACCCTTCAGAGGTTAAGCCACCCCTTAGCTTTTTCAAACTTGTACTTCTTACTCGTCAGAATCGATGAAGAACCAATCTTCCAAACTGATAATCGAGATCAAGAAATGGAAGTACAAACTTGTTTCGAAAAACATTTGTTAGTATGTTCAACTGGGCACGTGTAGTGCAACTGAACTCAGAAATACTGGGTAAGTACAAAGGGCAATACTCAGGCAAATGAGAAGTGACATTGAATACAGAGTTGCATAACAGCCCAATTGTGGGCATTCATTGCACGTTTTGTGGTAGGGCGGACATGCTCGTCGCCACAAGGACAAGAATGAATATTTTACAAGATGCGAACTCATCTTGTGAAAGAACTAGAGTACATAGCCAAGTAACTGGAATAAGATTACTAGTCGGGCTGTTATAATACTGAGAAACTCTGATTGAACCGATATCATATGTTGCTGATAATTGAGCCACTATTTTATGTACTGAAGCAGTATTGAGCCACTATAGCGTGCTGTTGAGGTAGATAAAAGTCCCCACAAGGGCAACTGCTCCAATGGCAATTCCAACTGGCAAAGCAGAACTGCACCGGAAAAACGCAAAGGTCAGTCTCCAACACTGGAGTATTCTAAACACTGATCATTGCCCTCCGATGTATCAGCAAAGACCTGGCAGTATGGGTTGAAAGAGCAAGATAAGGAGAGGATGGAAAGAAAGATGGACGATTCCAAGGATCCGTTTTAAATTCGAGGACCATAGTGTATGCATTCCACTGAATTGTGATATATGACTTACCCGATAGCGGAATCCACCTTCTTCAACTCTTCCTTTCGTGCTTTCCTGACGGCCATGTCGTTTGCATTTCTAGATACAGGGGCGTCGTAGGCCTTAAATCTTCTCTTTGGGGCGGCACATACTGTCCAACAAAGAAAGAAAACATCAGCAATTCCGCTGACAACTTGAATGGCCACACACGCTCAACATACACACGTCGTGCCACGACCAGACAACGATCATAGAATACAACTGCTGCACATAATACTGTTTGTTGCCACTCATTCCTTCAATCACAATACAGAAAAATCACCCGGAACTGACAAGTAGGACAGGAGATCAATACCTGGGCAGCTATAATCATCCCCAAGCTTGTCAAAAGCCTTGCGTTCGTTGTATATGTACCTGTACAACAAAAATCACGTCAATACAAGTAGGTGCGATAAACTTAGCTACCACAAGAGTACAAAAACCTTAATTTCCGCTACGAACAGGGCCCTACAATGACTCCCATCAACCCTTATCGGCGAGAATCGAGCCGCGCTTCTTGCAACAATGTGATCAACTGTAGTACGTCTAATTCAATGAGTAGAGTTCTACATATAGTTGAAGCCATCAGAGACTTAAGTTGCCCTCCGTCGGTGGAAATTTATGTCTACAGCACTTGTTAAGGCCAACGGTTAGTACATGAATCAATCAACCCGTTATTGGTAAATCGGGAGAATGATCAAATTATTCAGTGGCTTGTACCTTGGGCGTATAGCTTTTCAAAGGGATAGATACCACTTTTTTTGGAGAGAAACCACGAGTCTATCCCCCGATGCTGAAATTTCAGCAAAGATTTGGGAGGATGTGCAGTTTGTGTGGATAACCTGGTTGCAACCAATTTATCGACGCCAACCTACATGGATTTGTAATCAACTTGGGGTAACACCTCATGCCTACAATAGAATCTGTGGAAGTCCCAGAGCTGGAGTATGAGAATCTAGCGAGTGCATTGCAGTCAAGACCTATCCGCAGTGCAACTTTGGATAACGAGAAAAGGCTATCGGTGTTCGAGCATTTGCTTCACTGACAATCAAGTTAGATAGGAACATTCAGAACGACTGGCACCAATCGCTGTCCGGCAATACCACCAAATCCACCGACGCATGAAAGCCAAAGCAATGAGGCTACACTCTGATTACTATCAGCACATCCTTGCCCTCCTGAAGGTAAGCAGAATTCAAGAAGATCTAGATGACGTATGGGCAATATTGCACGCCTGGGGCTAGCATCCACGACCAAGTAGGCAAACGAGTACGAACATCACCATTCGTTCTGAGCTATCGATAATTGGTTTGTCAGCAGGGGTGTCCGGAAGAAAAATCTCACCCGCAGTCTCTGCAAATGTACGCCCCTTGCGTGCTCGTTCTCATGGTGATTCGAGGGGGAGCTGCTCCGGCTGCTTCAGGCACGGCGACGACCGATGCTCCGTTGTAGAAAGCGCTTTTGAGAGCAAACCTGTCATTCTGGAGGCGCAAACCCGGGGCTCCCTTCACGGCGGCGACCTTGGAATTTCCTCGTCTCTCGACATTCAAAGCGGGCAGGCCCTTCGTGAGGGCCGGAGCCACAACCGCGACGGAGGCCATGAACTCAACTCGACTCGACTCGACTCTCCGAAGAATGTCCGCCTGCTTGATTTCAAATTCCACCGATTCTATCGACAATGTGCTGCGAGAAGCGTCACGACGACAACTGCGTCGGCTGTCGAGAAAAGGCAGCGTCGACCGACTGACTGACTGACTGCTCCGGCCTCGTCACCGGCAGCTTTGTTTTATATTTCTATGTGTTCCGAAAGCGCCCGCATCATCCACTTCCTGCGTCTGCTGCTGGATCCATGTGGCCGCGTGTCGCGACCTCTTGTGTGGCGAAAGCTCCAGCGTCTTCTGCGAAGCGTGTGGCCCACACACTTCCTCTCTCATCCGTTCTCGACTTCCGGTTCCGTCGATGCTCCGACTGCGTCGCCGTCCATTTCGAGCGTAACCCAGTAACTACGACGTCACTCGCTGACCACTCGACGTGGTCAACATCATCCGATACTGTATATTCCTAGAACGTCCACGTAAAGGGAAACAGGAGAGTTCAGTCACCCAAAGGATTACACACTAACTATGTATGGAACATTACTACAATTTGTCATACGATAACCCAATCTCGCGAGCTGGAATCCTCCTCTCTCTTAGAAAATTCTCTCACCTCTGGGCGTATCATATCTTCCGTAAAGGTCATGATTTTGTAAATGAAAAAGATTATAACAACCGTAGGTGATTTGAAAAACCAAGCGCTCATTTCTCAAAATTATTACCCTTTCCGAAGATTCAGGAAATGGAATTTTGAAGTCAGATACCTACACTAATATCACACAAATTGAAAGTTTGCAGAACTGTGTTTCAAAACCTATGTATGATTCCATTGAAAGTTAATATTCCTATTTCATTTTATCAGTTTATTGCTATAACCCTCAAGTCTAGAGAGAAATGAAAGGTAATTTTTTGGTCTGATTTTGAATTTTGAGAGGACATGTAAATTTTAAATTTCAAGCTCAAGAAATCTATTATCAATAAAATGATATCTCAAGTCGCAAATCAAAATATGCAAAGAATTGGTGAAGCTCTTAATGTCATTCGTACGTCACCGAACCAATTTTTCTAGTCCAATGATTTCATCCTATCACATCACATCACTTTATCGAACGTAGGCAAAGCACTTTGAATCTCTTTATTATTGCATCTAAAATACTTGTAGGAAATAAAACATTTCGTGGGCTCCACCTCTCTCCCCGTTGCACTTCTTGAGTATGCTTCAGATTCCAATATATATTTCGTAATCCATCTACAAACCTGTATCAGTTTCAAGAAATCAAAATCTTACATAATTTTAGACATATTTTAATTTAAACAATATTCATTGTATGATTCTCGTAAGGAAAAAATAATTATTCTAAGGCATAATTTTATATATATGAAGAATTTTATCTCACTATATTAGATGCTTCTATAATACTTTGAAAATTATAAGAAAGATTATATTTACTTTATTAATAATAAGATAAAAATTATTTCATCCAATGATTGTGAATATAAAATCAGTGTAATAACTTCATCTTGTCATAATGTCAAATCTTGTATTTCCACTGACACAACAACAAATTATTATTAATTATTTCATTCATCTTAAATACTCTTAAAACATAATTTAAGAATTATCCAACAATTCAAAAGGAAAATTGTATATATGAACATATATATAATTATTTGTTTTATAAATTCATGTAAAATCAAGAAGCAGAAAAAAACTAACAATTAACAAATGACAACACCAAAAACATTCAAACTTTATATATTTGAATTTGAACATAAGTACATTTTTTAGCACACTTTACTAGTTCTCAGTTTGATATGAAAAAAAAACTTCAAAAGACATGTTTGAAGAGTTGACTTGGATATCAAATTAGTTCTCAATTTGTTTAATTCTTGTCAATTTGTACCAAGAGCTCACCAAAGCTCTTACTGACACTTTTTGAGGTTTCTGTGTGTAAAGTAGAATAGTTCCCGTGGACATAGATTGTTTTTATCTGCTTTTTGGATGTATCTCTCCTTTGTAATATCCAACAGGCTTGGAATCATAAGCTTCATTAGTAGGTTATCAAATTGGTATGCGAGCTTTGTCACTTGTTGGTCTTACACATATGGATATGAAATTGATAAAATACGTACATCTTACTCTTCGATCCAACTAGACTTTGAGGCATATGGAAATATGCATACTTCTGTTGAGCTATGACATTTTAGATCATCAGTTCTTTATGATACAGATAATGTGGAGATAGGTTTGATGTGCAAGATAATTAACAATAATTAAATGGAAAGTCTCATGGTTACTTAGATATCTTTTTATGTACAAGATCCAAATGGGAGGTTGAAGATTCAAATGGATATAGGTTTGATGTGAAAGATCCAAATTGAAAAGTAACTACGACGGGATATGTATACACGATGGAAAGTATACAATGCTATATCCTTATATTTATCCATGTATTAATTGATGGTGCCTTCATTCTTTATCATATATATCTTATCATATATAGGACTTGTGTACTTTACATTTAAATAATTAGAAACAAAACATCAATATGTTTGGTGGTGGGTCGGTAGTTGAGGGGTGGCCGTGTGCCGACTCACAACTTTGGTCTGATCCTATGACTCCTATGATCCTATATAATAAATGGGAGACCGCCGCCTTTGCACTAGCAAATCAGTACCGTGCTTTGTCCTCAAGTATGACGAACGGCTTCGACTCTTGGGGTTCGGTTGGTGATGCAAAAATGACGATTTCGAGTGTTCGGTCCATTTTAGTAGTTCTATCTCCTTGAATTGAAAGTATCGTTGGGTATTAGGTAGTACAGTGATTCGGGTCATACAAGGAGGAGGTATTTGAGGAAGAGTATTTTGATTTGAATCGCATGGGTACAACTGGTTTTCAGGGTGAATTCGATACGGTATAGTATCCAGCCGATTTAATTCCACAAAGGGCAATTTCTTTGGCTCCAAGTCAGGAAGGTACAATAGTTATGTTTTTCTCTGAACAATTCATTACATTTGGAGCGGTTTGGAATCAGGGCCTCTTGAACCCTGAACCACATTCGATGTGCTTTGAACTTTAGGATCAGCCGTTGAGCTGATGAAGTATTTGTTCATTTTTATCGCGAATTTTCTAAAAGTTCATTAGCCCCACTTTTTTCTACAAATCAACAAATTAAGCCGTCTCTGCATTTGGTCTTAGAACAATGCTAACGCATTACCCTATAAGTTCTTTTTGGGATGCATAAAGCATCACGAAGAAAAACAATCCAACATAATACATTTTTTACTTTATGAGTAACGTTTTACCCTTCAGAAAGGTACGATTGCCAGTTGGTGGCATCTCACACCTGCACATCTCTAAACCTTAATGTTGGGTCTTGAGTTTGTTAAAATTGTAAGCGTTACAAGCATAACGCTTCACGCAAGAGACCCGCAAATGACTGCTTTGATTTCGACTTTCTCGTTCTTTGCTACGAGAGTAGTCTAAACATTTCTTTCTGTTGACTTGAGGTGAGATGATGGAGCAACAAATTATCGAACAAATTTTTTGTTGATGCGATATGAACTATACTCTGGCCATGTTCAGTTTGAAATTTGGCTGGAGTTGGTAGGGCTCATACATAATTATTTTTTCTCCTTCGTGAGGGTATTTTCAAATTTTGTTCTTTTTCCAGTTTTTTTAATCTTTCCAAATGAGTTTACATTTTTGCTTCACTTGTAGAAATTTGCTGTTAAAGGATATTTACTCATCTGCTCTTTCATTAAGTATGCATTTTTCATGTCAATTTTTTAGTTACATCCGATTTATGTATTAGACGTTCATATTTTTGTATACATATTTCGATTGTTCTTGCGATTATTATTTTATCGATTTTTCAGACCATTACGACACATCAAGAGCATATTCTAATTTGGTAACAGTTTGTACTGGACTAGAAGTAATATGCAATGAATTGTAATGGTAAGGAAAATCCGAATCAGACAAGGAATTAGATGTGAATTATCACAAGTCCAAACTACAATCCATGTGACCCTGCGAATTTCCAGCAAATAATGCACGATGTGTCATAGTTCCTTCTTCATACTTTCATTCTGCTCTGATATAACAGACCGTTCTTTAGATTAGCATATTGTATTTCATAGTATGTCTACCGATATCAGACTGGATCCATACGGATCCTTAGACATATTTCGTTCTTATTATAAAATTCATGCACAGAGATGAACGGAAATCCAACGATAACCAACATCTGTAGAGTCCATGAGGAAAATATGCACCAATCTTATGCAAAATATTCATATACACCAAGGTCGGCGGCTGAGTAGCTCTTGTATTATTGGCAAAAGTCTGTGAAGGACCACAAAGGTACTCACACCATCCGTGGACTTTAGTACACCTCATCGACTACACGAAAATCGGGCACAACTTTAAAATGTGTGTCGTTCTAAGAATATATAAGTATGCGAATCTGGGCGAAGATTAATCACAGGTGAAATTAGCGTGCTGTCTTCAGTACCCGGAAGCCATGACTTGATTTCATGAGTGTTCTTGGAGAGCTCGAATGGTCTCACAGGTAGCTGCAGGAGTGTACGTGAGAACTGAGTTGAGCGGGCGTAACTTTTTCAGACTTCTCTACTCCTCAGCGAATCTGTCGGAGACCAAACATGAACAAACCATTTGGTTAGATTGAGAAATCTCCGCATACGACCACGACAACTAATTCATCCACGATACCACTTTCCGTCCTATCACAATCAAAAATTCTATAATCTTGAGAAGGATTGTGAGCCAAGCAATTGCATCAGGCATGTCATTTCAGCTCACTGGACCAATTTTGCATTCTTTACATTGCAGTTGAAATTCACGTCACACCCTGGAGACACGAAGACAACAATCACACCGACAACTGTGAGAGAGAGAGAGAAAGGAATGGGTGTTACCCTAGCTCAGAAAGCTTTTGGTGTGCTTCGGCGTAGTCAGCGAAGAAAGCGTCCTCGTCCTGTAAATAAAACGCACGATCAGAAATTGCAAGCACAGTGTAAAGAGATCACCACACGCCTTCTCACACTACCACGCAAAATAAACAAGTTTTGATTTCTTTGTCGATAAAATTTCGTGTCATTCTCGATTTGAAAATTTCAGAGCGAGTCTGAGGTATGATGCTTTCGCCCACCTTTGCGTACAAGTCAACGAACTCTCGGAACTTGGGGTCTTCAAGAAGTGCCTTGTCTGAGGGCAGCTGCAAGAGTCCTTCCTTCTCTCCGGTAAGCAATTCGCTGCAATCAAGTCAAGATATCATGTTAAGTAAGAATGTTAGTACTGAAGCCAAAGTGAGTGAGTGAAATTCTAATACACGCTTACACCTCTCTAATGCAAGCTACGCACATCGTAATGTACCAAGGATCCTTCAAACTCAAGCTTGATACTCGGGATCACTCACGTGAAGTAGGAGTTGTCGAAGATGAGTGGGTTGGGAGTCCACGGTCCTTCGAATCCAGAGCGTTCCTTGTGGGCACGTCCCTGAAATTGTGACAGCATTCTCGTTAGTTTCACAAAAGTCGTTATGTCCACAGGTAAACGATTGTTGGACTCACGACAGCGCTCAAAAGTAGATAATTAACAGGTTATTGTTCTTAGACATACCAAGGTGTGGGCACCAGAGAGTGCAACGATCTCCTTGTCGTTCAATCCATAGGCGTAGAAAACGTCGCGCAAATGGCTTGGGCCTGAAAACGAGAACGAGCCACGTCAATTGACTGAAAACGTAGTGAGGTAATTACACAACGAGAACTTTTTGAGGAAGAAATTTCGGCTACTGCCAGAACCTACCCTTCCTGGCGTCGGGAAGTCTGCCTTCTGGGGGAGAATCCTTCTTGTCCTGCAATAGGAAGTGACAAAGCCAGGCAGGTTTAGCATCTAATCGAAGTCATGTCCAGAGAGAACACTCTCCTCTGCACACAATTCCGGCAGTTTAAAAAACACACAGCTTGAAGGTGTAGAGACACTTTATTGGAAGGTGTCCGTACCTCGCGACCGGGGTGGAAGTCGATGGTTGGTCCGCCAGTGATTTCGACGGCAACGACTCCAGCGAGCTACACGACGACATTCGTTGAGTCAGACCACGAGTATAGCGCCAAACTCACCAAATCTCATTAGTCTTCACAAATAGACAAGAATTCCACAATCACACTTCACATAAGAACCAGAAGCTTGGTATGACACCAAGGTAGAGTCAACGCATCGTTGATTACCTGAACGAAGTCGGCGTATGAGAGGACGGGGAATTGCTGGTAGATGGGCTCGAGCAGGTTGACGGCGATGTTCAGACCTGCGTTAGCTCCGTGGGCCAACTCCTCGGCATTCTTCATGGTTCCGTAGGGACCTCCGGTCTTGGTCTTGTGGTCAAAAGTTCCAGCAGAGTGCCATCTACAGATTTCAAATCGAGCGCTTCAGAATTCCGCAATTGGTAAAGCTCCCAAAACAAAACAAAAAAAGACAGTGGGAATCTCGAAGAAGGTAATTGATAGATGTGCAATAAACTACTCCACAGCTGCGACGGAATACAATAAAGCACGTAGTAAACGTGGAAAAAAAAGTAGAGAAGTCCAGATACTTACGCCAACCGGACCATCAGAGGTGCACAGTTCTTCTCTGCATCCACCAGCGAACAATATGCACGATTAATATAACAAGATCGCGTGGAATAAGAGCCTCACGCTCCACCAAGCACACGAATGCAAAGCTGATTTGTGATCTACACCAGTCCAGAACACCTACTCTAGCGCTCCAATCTGTGAACTGCGTTGCGAACGCTGCAGGCGACTGTTGACTGTGAGGTTCTACAAAAGCTTGTCCGCATCAGACCCACGAGACGTGACTCTTGAGCTTGCAAACTACAGCTAACATTTTCATCTGCACTTGGTCGCAGGTGAGCTCCAAGTTCCCCAGCGCAAAGGTCAGCAGCTCGTACTAAGACTAAACCATCTGACGCCCTACGTATTGGATCTGTGGGCTAAATCGAATGCCGAGTTATTTCCGTACCTGCAATGAAGCCCCTCAACTTCCTCTTACACTTCTCGACGGCGACCTTGTACTCCTCGCTCACCTCGGGGTATACCTTGGCACCCATGTTGACAGATAGGCGATACGGCTGCTGTGGTACAGTTCAAGCAGACAAACGAGTTAAAAGACATTCGTGCTAGACACAGATAAAAGAAAACCGAGAAGTGCAACTGAGAATCTGCAGCTGAGCGGCCTCACTTCGACCAGAGTCGAAGACAAAGGCAAAATCCCGGCAAATCAATGCTCCAATCACAAAGAGAAGCGCAAATCTTCTCACTCCAACGAAAAACTCATAGCATAGAGCGCGACATCGAAACGAAACGCCAGAAAGACAAGAGCCCGGTAAAAGCACATCTTCAGAGCTGACAAAACCTCAACTGACGATTGATCTGATGAGCGAGGGTTTCCAAAATACTTCTAACTGTCAGCTTGGGACGTAGAATGACGGGACGAGTCTCCAAAATCACGAGAGCATGTGCGACTTTTTTACCTCAACGAGGGAGAAGAGTCGAGCGGGGACGCGGAGACGAAGACAGAGAGACGAGATGGCAAGAGTGAAGCTTTGGTGCGTGGGGGACACAAGACTCTTCGATGCTCGGTGCTCTGTGTCAAGCGGACAGTCTCGTATGTATTAGACTCCCTCACTCCTGGATACCGTCCGCTCGGACGCCCTCTCACATCGGACGGCTGAGGAAAACACCCAATTAATCGACTCAATTCCATCTAATCTTCGTTTCCATGAACGCATAGCGCTCATCTGGACCGTCGAGCTCTGTAATCCGGCGGACGATCGATTTCCACGATTAATAAACAGAAATAAAGACAAAGAAAGGCTGCCAGTAACACACGATCGATGTGTGGAAAGCACGCCGGTTCCTTGTCCGCCGGACCAGATGCGTTCCACACTTGGGGAATCTGATTGCCATGTCAGGGAACTTACTGGTGGACGACGAGCTAGGTCACGGTGAAGCTCTTGGGCCTGTTTTCCCGTTCTGGCCATTTGCGATCACCGCCGAACCTTCGCCGGCTACTTCCGCTGCGCTTACTTTCGCCTGCAGTCGGGCTTTAAAAAAATGTCTCGAGTACTGTGGCGTACGACCCTTTTTTGTCGTGCCCCAAGGAGAACCATGCAGCCGTGGCCTGGAACCTCCGATTAGAAGGACTGGCGACAGGGCATGTTTTAGGAGACAACATTAAACGAGCCTCTTGCTACAAACAAGAGAGATGAAAGAAAGCATTCTAGAGACGAATGTGCAGAACCTCTTCGTGTCAACTGGGGGAATGCGAACCTGATCGCCTCGATCCCCTCGTAACACGTTCCGGTAATTAAAAAATTGGCCACGAATTTCGATGTAGTTCGTGTGTATACCTTATGTTTACACGCCTTATGTCGTTTTTTCTTGCTTTTTGCAACAAATCACTCCTCTTTCACAATGATAATTTGGGGATTATTTTCCTCGTAGGACTAGGACGTTTGTTTTCAAGCACTAAGGAAAAGATGCCGAGGCCTAGAGAAACGTGTTAAAAACAGTAATGAAGTTTTTGGAAGAGTTGATGGAATTTTATATTTGAAGATACGTATCGTGTACTTTCGTTAGACATTGACCATGTGTACTTGTAAAATGTAGAATCAAAGATTCGTTTTCCTTGCCAGGGTAAGCTTGAATAAGTATCACCCCGTGTTTCCAGATCAATTGATATCACAAGAGACAAACATGACTTTTACGGGTAAAAGATCATTGAAGATTATTGGGGAATTTTCAAACTTTGGCGATATCATGTGATACGACGAGCCAACATATCATTTCCCGTCAACAAAGAAAGCAAAATTTTCAGAATTTTCTTAATGTGTTCTAAGTCAAAAAAAATGATTAGAAAGTATTACGTTCTTGATATTGAGTAAGATAATTTACAAATTTGGCCAAAAAAATATGTTGAAGACATATACATCTTTTGAAATTAGAAAAAGAAAATTTTCCAGCTTCCAACTGACTAATCAATCAAAAACTTCATTGTAAGGAGAAGCTCACTTCATATTCTTATCTCTCTATTAATTGAAGTTTTCGTTTTTATTTTATTTTAATTTATTTTATCGCTGCAATATTTGTCGATTTACTAGAGTTGTATAGTATGTTCATGCTTTTATTCAAGATGGCCGCAATGATATACCAAACCTTAAAATAAGAGGAATCTCCATACACCAAAGTGAAACGTATTTGAAATCGTGTTATACAGCGTGCATATGATAAAACAACACTATATTGCCCATCTATAATGGGTTCGGTGGTATAAGTCGGTTCTAATTGCATTCATTTGAACAAAGTGCATTTGAAGAGAGTGTAATTTCCATCAGGTACCTTCAATATTGAACACTCTCAATAATTCTTTCACCAAACAGTCCAATTGCAGGCATGACGGTATTATGGCCAATAGCATAAGTGTTTGACACAAATGCAGCATCCAATGTACTGATGGTTCTGTTCATATGTTCAGCTGTTGTTTTGGGTCATGACTAGCAAACTTTTACGTTTTTATATATCGATTTACAGACTGTTCTTCAGTGTCATTGTTAACTCTGATCTTTATATCTTTACATTTCCAAATGTGATGAAGGAAGATTTCTTACGATTATCTTAATCTCGATATAGAAGTATACCTTCTAGAAACATGTTGAGTCTAGTGAACAAAAAGTTTAAATTGTAGTATGGTGTAGGCGTCAATGTTCATATTTTTGAAAGCTAGGTAGATTTAGGATCAACTTCTAGATTTTCTTGCACATGCTTCAGATGGATATGAAGCAACTGAAAAAGATAAATGATGTGGGTTGGTCAAGTTAGTGCATTGTTCATTACAAATTTTAATATTCCTTAATTTTAAAACGTTAGCACGATGTTCATATCCATGGTAATAGATGTTCCATACTTTTTTAGAAATGTTTATATTTTCTTAAGTTCTAAATTTGAACCACTTGTATGGATTGAGTTGCATAACTCATATAAAAATTGTAGAGATGCTCTATGCTCTATGGTCAGAATCAGAAATTCTTTCATTTTTTGAAATGAAAAATATTGATTTTTTATTCTATTTTTCCATCAGAAATATCACTTGTTACATGGCTAATTGAGTATACTCATAGTAACAAACAGAGGAAAAGTGTTCCACATTATTGCTTCTATTGCATCTCGTTCATCTATGAGTCAGCATTTGAGAAAGCAGAGGAATGTTTTGAGTAGGTTAACATAAAGCGAGTATAAAATTGTGCAAGGCTTTGGAACGGCCAATCATTTTACTATTATATAGAGAGCATGGAAGGACTAGGTCAGAGCTTAATGTAAAAGATCCTATAATCAGGATCACCTCTGCAGAATGATATTTTATGTCTATTCTGCCATCTTATTCTTATGGCGAACAAGGCCTAGTTCGTGGAGTCTTCACGTATTTTCTGACATTGAAGGTCAAGAGCACAAGCGTTCTCCGACGATCAGAAAAGCTTTTATATGTTTAAGAGACTCTAAATGATGCATCCTTGTTTGTTTTCATAATCCGTACAAAGAATATTTTCCCAACACTGAACTGGCAAACGCGAAGAGGATGAACGGGGTCGTCAAAAGGACCGGAGACATAGTAAAAACATGAACTCTGGACAAGTGCTTGGTTGTCTAGTTTTTACAGCAGGTTACTTTGTTTCAGCGAATTCCTCGTCAAGCTTCAGCGAGTAGACTGAACCCATCAACGGAGTCTACATGTTTCGTTCAAAGAATCTGTTTTTTAACCTTGTTACTTCCTTCGCTTCCATGGAAGCTACCATCTTAACCACTCAATTTTACCCTGGGCTTCTTCATTTTTAGTCAGATTCTGAATACACTATACAGGGGCAGAAGAAAAGTTGGATAGACTTAAAAAGGTGTTATTTTTATACCCGGATCCTTTTCAACGTGTTCGACATAACTTTTTAAGACAGAGAAGCATGATCGAATCACAAAAGTTGTATATACACTATATATTAAAAAATATATAATTAATGCACAAATTTGGAGTACAGAATTTTTTTTCCACATAAGTGCTAAGATAATATTCGTAAAGTATACCTCCGAAACGGGATCAAGGGTCCACATGAAACTCACAAAGCCAAATTCGAGGTCTCTCTTTGAACTCCTCAAGAAAAAACAAGAGGGGATCAAGAAAAGTCTTGCAAAGTATCATCATTCAATGGTGCAAAAGAAAGCATGATTGGATAGGTGGTGGACATTTAAGCGGAACTAAGTAATGTAACGAAGAGAATGGAAAACCCAACAATTCTTGCAAAGATGAAACCAATTCTTAAAAATGGAATTAGGATCAAAATTATCAAAATGGTAAATGAGTCTTAAAATTATATGAGATATTAAAACTGTGAAGATTACATGGGAAGAAACATCAGGAGAGCGATCTTTTTTCTACGGATAATATTTATTCTTTCACCATAATGAACAAAGGAACTGCAATAGGTTGATATTTAACTCTTCTGACGATGCACCCTCGCATATATATTAGGGGGATTCATAACGCATATACCCATAATGCGCGACTCGTCCTACTGTTCGGATAATGAATTTCCATATTAACTACCACGGTGGGCGACGAGTCTTGGTAAGAAAGCAGTGGAGAACAGTCGACGCGGGTCGGCACGTGGTATGAGAACTGGAAGCTCAGGCGTAACTTTCCTCAGTACGTGGTAGTAAACTGGGGTTACCGTCCAGGTAAAAAGTGCGTGGCTGCCTCTTTCAGCTCAATACCGTCAATCCGGTACAGTAATGGTTGATCGCGAGCCGGTTCATACACTCCCGGGCTATGCAAAAAACGACAAAGTAACGGACAAACACTGCCGGCGATCTCCGCACGAACGAGTGAGGAATTCGCCGGCGAGATCAGCGAGTGCGTGGCCAAGGACTCATTCCACGGCGACCGTACACCGAACCGGGAAAGTGAAACGAAAGCGAAGGTCTCAGCCTCTCGCCGGTAACATTCGCGCCGACGAAAGGGCGAGAGTTTGTGACAGAGTCATGGTATGTCAGAGCCCAGTGACGGAAGAGCGTTAACCCGAGATAAGTTCACGACGCCGAACCCGGGGATCTAGCAGGTTCCATTGGTTGACCGATGGGGGCCACACCACGTCGCCGTGGAGAGTTTACGGCTTTATGCCGTGAGGATCTACCGCCGGAGATGCGCCCCTGCAGTCCCGTCGCGACCGACCTTGGGCATTGAAGACCGAAGGGACGGGCGCCGCTGCCACGAGCGAGATTGCACCATCTGAGCCATCGCTCGGGTCATGATTTTAGGCAAGGGGTTGGGCGAGAATCTTCAACACGATCCGCTGCTTTCCATTTCTGGATCGCTGCCTCGGCTGAGATTGGTGAATTTGGTACGCCTCCCGCTGTCACGTGCAGAAAGGAGCACTCCTCCGGTGGGTTTCGATCCACTAGGAATGCTCGTAGCAGAAATCTCAGGAAGCGCTCTAAAATTGGACCATTGCTCGAGAGACATTCGGGATTGACACCACTTGCGTTGCCTGGCATCTGTCGCGTTCCGTGAGTGTTCCGCTGTTCGGTGTCGGAAGCTTTGTGCTGGCTCGTCGTCGTTAACTGCTTCGCCATAACTGTGGGCAGTCACGAGACCGAGCTCTTCACAATGTTCGACCCCTCCATGTACTTCCATGTGTCTCAGCGGGGTCTAGGACACCAACATGGATCGATCCACTTACAATATTAACATTGATACGTCGAAACGAAACTTCGATACGGAGATTTCCGATCATGAGGATCGGATGTGGGACAGCGCCTATTCGACTCTGATCGATGTAATTTCTTTGTCTGTAGCAACTTAGATGAATGTTTCGGGATGTGCCAGGATTGACAGTCTCCTGCTTCCGGAACACCAAGCACCAGTCCCCTTATTGCCATGGGCATGTCGAGTGCATGGTGAATCAGAACGCTCAGAGCAGTTGCATGATCTATTACAACCAAGATCCACAGGTTTTCGCCGTGGTCCATCGTAACCAAGCATCCTGAGCGGCGTACACTAGCCTCATGGTGCTCCACTCATGAGTACTGTCGACTTGGACCCGACATTCGACGAGGAACCTCTTCAGTGGTAGCGAAGAGGTCTTTTACATTGGGTTCATCGCTCCCTTCATACGACCTCAGGACCACAGACTCACGACAATCAGATTATAAGACAACATCCAATTCCGGTGCTTATGCTGTTCACAGGGAATTCGCACATGCACAATTCCGGTTCTTCCTAATCGGGCTCTCGCTTAGCCACCGGTGTTCATCGCTTTTACGGGAAAGGAGCGATCGTGCAAGAGTCGTTTCGCCATATCCTTGCCGCCCATGCGCATTTGCGACATACCCAACAAAAGACAGGACCAAAGAATAACTTCCGAGGACATTCCGAGTTGACGAACACCATTTGCCAGAGGACAACGTAAATTTTCAGTCTATAGTCTACGGCCGGTAAAAGGTCTTGTATTAAGTAAATCTTTTACAGTCTGCGGGGAAAGAATCCCGTGCAAAATTGCTATCCCAAATCCTGCCTTAACGATATACGTCACGTCTAACAACTAAGCAAAACTTGCAATGTCGCGTCGGGAAGTTTCTCTCGTGTTGTCGCCCTTCCCAGCTAAAATTTCCTCCAGGCTGATGTGCGTCCATTGCAGGGAGTCCTCGGAGTTGGATTCACGCCCTTCCCTAGGCGCTCCAACCCCTGCTTCCTCTTTTGGTGTTGCAGCTCACGAATTCCGGAATCTTCGAATGGGGACCGCGAGCCTTGTTGGCAAAGATCTCAAAGCACTGGACCTGACGCGCTGGAACATTGGACGTACACAACTCCAACACATTCATCATCATTGATAGAATGACCAACAAGTCCACCATCACACGCGCCACAATAGAGACGGTTCGACCTGTACATGTGTTCAAGATGCTGGACACAACAATATGTTCACCAGTCTGCCACACTTCACCTCTTTGAGTGGTGCAGCACACGTTAGTCGGCTGCAAGAAAAAGGCTACCAATATTCACTGTGCTTCGGGCGGAGACTACATGAAAAACACGAATGCCCAGAGGCTTGCTCTGCCTGCTGAAAACTGGTAGGAGACATATACCCACCTGATGTGACCATTGGCTTGGTGCTGAGGGACGTCGAAGCTGCAATTTTGATGGATGGCTGGATCTGGCATCCAGAAGTCCAGAAGGTGGCCGAAAGGCATCCTTCACTGGCTTGGCAAATTTTAGTGCCGGAATGGTCCCACAGATCAGACCAATCCGAAGGTGGATAGAACAAGGAATTGAACACCATATTCAATCCGTTGGTTGTTCGCCTTTTCATGGAGGATTTGTGTGCGCTAAGGCACAATCGGGTTTGACACCCAAGTCCCGTGCTCAAAGTGCATCACCATTGGATCCGCAGCACTCCAGCATTTTGACGGCACAAGACAGTTTTAATGCTCTCGTCGTAGTTTGGGCTCATTCGACCACACTCCGCCACAGGTAGGACTCCCGAGCTTATGACGGGAAGGCAGTAGTAGGGAAAACCCATGCTGATGCTGAGTAAAGGGCGGAGAGTTTCATTCGACACAGTTCGTGAGTTTCTCTTGCGCTGGCATCTACGTCTGTGAACTTTCTTGCAACGACTGTTCTGCCGTACACGGTGAGGTGTGGGCCTGGGAAGAACATTGCTGCAGGTCTAAAATGTGATCAGGATTGGTAGTTGACGGGAGAAATACACATGTCGAAGGAATCAAGGATCCAGGTAGACAATGTGCGACCTCTAACCACCCAAGTCGACAATCATTCCAAGATAATTCAAATGCCAAGAGCATGACACCTGAACCCTATACATGCTTCATACTGACAATGCAATTGCACTACTCCAAAGCAGGGGAATCTCAACATGTTTGCATTCCCTTCAAAGTATAAACCCGTGCAACAATTGTTGAGCTGAACCTGCAAGTCTCCCAAAACCTCCACAATTGCACAAAGGTGGTACTGCCGTCCACAACATGAAAAGTATTAAGTAACAGCCCATAGGTGTGCGATCTGAATGCTGCTGCACGGTAGTATCGTAGATACTGCGCATGCTCACTAAGTGGGCGAGCCCGCAGGTGCACACTGAGTTTAGAGGCTGAGTGCTTTACACTCTTCCCTGGATCCCATCACTAAGTCAAAATGTTTCTTCTTCGACGCTCAGGCGATCTGGGCAACAACGTCTTGCGCTGTCTCCTCCAAGTTCAATGCTTTCAGTTTGACGAAAGGTCTGACCAAGCCCTGCAGATATACACAGGAGGCACAGACATTCACAATTAAACCAAATGTCTTTTCCAAAGCAGGCACGGTGACAAAATACCAGATACAGAAAACTTGATTCTGGACGTCGGCAGCAGAACGTTACATAAGTATTTAGACTTGCGATATATGACGCAAACTTGAATAAATTATACACACACATCGTGCGGCTCATCTGTTCTGTCAATACATTGAGACAATGTTTACCGTAAGGGACAGAAAGACTTTGCCGCCGGTGCCGGCTTCTCGGATTTCAAAAACTCCCTTCCTCGGCTGCGGTGACACGACACACAATGAAGGTTCAAATTGTCATGCACAGACGAAAATACGACCACAACAACTTACAAGAATTTGATAAGGTCCAGTAAGAAGTAATGAAGGCAATTCGAAGATAAGCCCATTCGATCACGAAAATCAAGCAGTGGATGAGTTCTAGACACTGTTTCTGTAATTACGTAGAGGAATGCGATCAAACTACAAATTTTGATAAGAGACAATGCGCTCATTATACAATAGAGACGTTTCGACCTGTACATGTGTTCAAGACGTTCCTTCAGGTGACCAATACATAGAGGGAGATGAAATACAAACAAACCCATGCCTAGAACTTAGAGGCCGGCTTCTTCATCAACTTCATTATCCGGCTAAATAAAACTCAGGATGAGAGGGAACATCAATTTTCAATCTCAAACAAATTCGAAGTTAAGCATCTGGAATCCAAAACGTGAGGCAAAACCTTCTCGGGATTGATTGTGATCTCCACGTCAGGGACAGAACCCTTCAAAAGGTCTTGAATTTTGAAGGCCCGCTGTTTGAAACTGTTGCATTGTTTGCTGCGCACACACCAAAAACACATTACGATTCTCGCTCATACCACGCTCAACTTCAAAATGATCACCTGATCGGCAGAGGTTTTACAGTGGTTTCTTTACTATAATTCTACGAGGGAGCTAGTATGAATGAAATACAATTACAGGGTAAGCTGATGACCGTCTCGGAATTGCACAATTGTCAAATTATCATACGGTGATTCTCAGAAGTACATTATGAAATCTAAAATGAGGACAGACAAGAGTAGAATTTGTCATTCAATAAAAAGAGCGGCGTAGCAACATTTTCCAGATGAAATTGATGACCTAACACAGACCGCTAAAAGACTAGCTAAGCCATGCATTAAGGTGAAGAACAAAATGAAGACTACACGTCTTACAAATATTCAATGAAGTCTACACAGAGAAGTTACTCAGTCTCAACGATATCTAGAAACCAGGAGAAAATGTCTGGCTAGGCAGAAACTTTAGTTGTGGCGATCAAACTGGTAAGAGTACTAAAACTGCAAGACTGGACGCAAAATTGAAATTTAGTAACAAGAGGAAGATACGAACTCGGCACAGAAGCTAGGAATAAAACCAGGTCGAGTGGCTACCAAGCGAACCTCGCTACCTCTCCAACAACAAAGCTCAAGTACTTACCAGTGCTCGATGATGATCTGCTTTGAGCCACTCTTGGCAGGTGCTTTCTTCTCTGGTGTGGCAGCAGGAGGGGCTGGCTTCTCAGGCTCTTGAGCTTTGGGAGGGGCTTTTTTGGCCTCTTTCTTCGGGGGTGCGACCTTCGCAGCTGGCTTAGCTGGGACGGCTTTGGTTTTCTTAGGAGCAGGGGCAGCCTTGGGCTTGGGTGGAGCTTTCGGCTTAGCAGGTGCCTTGGCCTTCTTGGGCTTCGGCGATTCCGGCTCGATGTCAGACTCGACGTCGTCTTCCTCAGACTCAATCTCCGACTCCGATGGTGGTGGCGATTCTTCCTTCTTCTTAGCAGGTGCCTTTCTCTTCGGAGGCATGGTGTTCAGAACTCGGCTGCGCTTCCTCGACCAACAGAACGACCAAGCACCTGCCTACGGTCACTCTCTCCTCTGCCCACCTCACGACGACAACGACACCGACGGCCAGTAATGACACAACCACGAACAAACGTGAGCCAACTCGACACGGCACCTCGAGACTCACTCACTCACTACTCCAATACACTAGAACTCCCCTCTTCTCCGCCCCTTCCTACTCCCTCGCTCCCTCGCTCCCTCCCTTCTCCCTTACCCTCGCCTCCCTGCCTCCCTGCCTCCCCCCCTCCTCCACGGACTCACAGCCCAGATTTTTAGGAGTCCCGCCCTTGGCCCAACCACAACAACTTTTTCCGCAGCAGCTTTCTCTTTCTCCCTTTCTCAATCCCCTCTCGCCGTTTTCCTTCCCCCGCTTTCCGATCACTCGCGCACTCACTCACTCACTCACTAGACCTTCTACACTCGCAGTCTTCCGCCCCTCCTCTCCCCTCCCATGCCTTCGGGACGAGAATTCTCACGCCAGCACTCAGCGCTCGGCAGCAGATCAGCCGCAGAGCCAGGCAGCAGCAGCAGCAGCCAGCCGAGCATCGGTGCAGTCCTAGGGGAGGGAGGGGTCAGCCCGCAGCAGCTGCGCTTCGCCCCTCCCCGTGATGCAAACGCCTCACTGGAGAGCGAGCGCGGGAGGGGAGGAGAGGAGAGGGGCCTAGTTTTGGAGGGCCGACCAACTAACCCACCCACCCAAACAAGGAAGGAGCCCGGCCTTTCCTTCGCTACTACGACCATCGTTGCGCGCGGTGTCGTCGCCTCGACCACGTTGGAGTGTGTGGGGATAGATAGACATTCGAGCCGGCGATCGCGGGATCGGACGGCGGCATGAGCGTTGCGATTTAAACTTCTCGACTGTGCTGTCGTTGTGGGGCCGCGGGCTTGGAAGAGTGGTACAGAGCAGTTTGCCGACGTCAAACCGCAGTCAGTCGTCACCCGGGTCAGGATTGAACCGCCGGGTTGGGGGAGTTCCAGTCCCCCCCGCACGATCCGCTGCCTGGTTTCCGACTTTGAATTCGACTCCGTGTGCCCTGCGTTTCCATGTCTCGTGCGATGCCTTCCGAGCTTCCTCTCGGCGCAGAATCTCGCAATCCTCGTCACAATTGATCTGAGTGAGCAGCGTCGGGCTTTCTGTATCAAATCGTCCCGTTCGTTGGAGCCGATCCTCGTGTCTCGGTGAGAATTGTCGACACCTGAGTTTGCTCTGATTTTCGAATTCGGTTTGATTGAGATTGACTGCGGCGTGAACTTGTTAAATTTCTGTCCCAGTTGCGTTCGTCCTGGAGCTTAGTTGATCAGTGTCTGAAGTTAGTGGGATTTCTGATCGGCTCTTTTTCATATCCTTCCTTTTTAAGCCGGGCTTTGTTCTCTGTGATTGAGCTATGATCAGGGTATGGCTGCTGTTGCAAGAAATGTGTCATCGAGTTTGCATCTGTCGCTCGCTCAGGTATCGACGGTAGTCTTGGCCGGTCGTAATTGACTTCCGTTTCTCCAGTGGAACCGTGGCTTACATTTTTTACGGACCAAATCAAAGCACAATGTTGCAGGCTTGATTCTACCCTCTGAAATTTTGGCATTAGACTAGTTCCTGGCGTCCATTGAAGCTTTCGGTGAGAGGGATAGCGCAACTCCTCCGACTTGTCACGAGAAAAAAATCGAATGTTTGAAAGAACGGTTGGATTCATGTTGAATGGTCTATGATCAGCACATCCGATTCTGCGCGTCGAATATCCACGCTTGTTCATCCCAAGGAGGAGAAATTCGCCGCATCACATCTTGGACATAGAAATTCGCCCTTTCAACCTCGGCATACTACCTCGCTTCTGCTTCTGGGCCAATCCGGGAAGGGAGACACTAGACAACCATCACTTCTCTCTTGACAATTCTTGTATCTGCCCGAACTTTATGCACTAGCATTTGCGAAGGCGATAGAGATCATTTACTGCTGACGTCAGGTTCCCATAATGTCTACTGTTCGTAATGCTCTTCTCTGCAAATTGAAGATTACAATCGATCCATTTGTACAGTTGACGGATGCCTCTTCGGTAGCAAGCGGGGTGTTCTGGATCCGGCCGCAGTAAGTACGAATCAATTTGCACCAACAAATCCTTTATAAAGTAAAGACGACAGCGCTTCATTACTGCTTGCAAATTGATCACATGCACAGAGATTGCGAGCTATATCCACGGAGAAGATCTCCAATCAGTAACCTGTAGCTCGGAAGCAACCGAGAATTCCCCTTAAGAGCGTTGCGTCGCGGGATACGATGAATCTAAATATGTCAAAACCAGGCGAGCAAATATTCATTGTTCCAGGAGGCACATCTAAACAGTCTGCGGAGCAAGTCCTGACAGGCCTGATCTTGCATGTCTCGTACCAAATACTTGAACTTAACCGTAATTGCTTCCATGCAGCTGCACCTGAGTACGTCTTTGTTTTTGGGCAATCCTGAACGCATCAATTTTCCACATGCAGTTCGTCTTTGAGCTTGGATTGCATTCAAGGCCCTCAGGACACTATTGCTTTGTGGGCCGTTAATCCCTTCGGCGCAATCAGCTGCAGAATTTACTCTCCACCGCAACTGCGTCTCTTGCAATCAGTCAATCCCTTGAATGGATTACTTCCAGGTCCTACGCAGGTGAACAGAAAGAGAGTGTACACAACAGATGTCCATCCAACGAGTGCCCTTCCACTTAGTTCGGGACTCTTGCGCGTGAAACAGAATCCGGACCACCGAGATATTTTGACGCCGCTTTCCTGGAAAGGAGAAGAAAACAGACGCTCGATTCGAGCTTCGGAGGGACCTAATTCAACCATGGAAAGATTGTAATAATCAATCAGTAGGGAGCAAAAGTGTTTGGACTCACTAGGGTACGATAATCCACTGTGAGCGGAGTAGAATCGAAACAGGCACGCCCTTAGAGTGTCACATCCTCGCATCGTGTGGGTGGGTACGTTCCCTTTAGTAGGTGATATAGGTCTCCTCCCGTTCACGCCAGTAACCACACGACCAAATGCGGAAGATGCCGCCAAGCTCGAAAAGAAGCGGATGCCCGAGGAAAACGATTATGAAATGTGCAATCAGTAACAGCTGGGCAGGACGGAGCAGAGATGCATTCTCTTATTTAGCCCCGTCTTTGTCGAGATCATTCATCTACAGAAGGATGTTCACGAGGAGCAAGAAGCAAGTACTCGGTCCACATGGTAGTAAAACCTGCCCGTACTTTTGTTCAAAAGTACGGCCACGAACGATTTGACTCTGTGCGTCTGTTCCACGGGTTGCATGAAGGTACTGTGTCCTGACGACGACAGAATTCAAGGGCTCATTTCGTCCTTTCAGTCCTCTGCCGACTGGAAGTTCTCCATAAAGCTGTGAGCAGATAGCCAGCGAAATCTCGACGAACCTTGTCCGGAAGGTGGGAAGGGGTGGGTTGTGTTTGCAGCCTAAAGTAGCGGAGATAGCAGAAACCCAATTCCAATTGGGACCTTGAGACAAGACCTCTCGATTCCGCAATTGTTTACGAATGCTTCAGTATGATGTGTTCACCTTGGTGATTAAATAGGTGAAAAGTAACGTCGCACTCGACATTGTAAGGTGAATCTCAGATGTCATCCTTCTTTCGTACAAGTAGGGCGTATTCTCTGCTGAGCCTACTTCAAAATTCATTACCGCACTTCGAATTCCAATTCAGTCCACAGTTCGAGTGTCTTACCTGAAGCCTTGACAACACACAGCATCCTGAAGCTATGCAGAGGAACTGTACACCTCGGGATGATTGTTCAGCGACCGTGCTTTGGACTTTCTGCAAAAGGAAATCAGCTTGAGACGTGCAGAATCTATGAAATGTGCAGCTCATCCAGCACTTAATGGCTTGTTGAAAAGATATTCGAGTGGTGAATTTCACGAGTCTGAGAGAGTAGCTGATGATCGGCACGGTCTACCATGCTGTCATTCAATTTCTGTGCTCAATTATGAAGCTCCATCAAGCAGCCAACGTTTTGTCCATCCGATCAAGTTCATGTTGGTTGACTTGTAGCGTTTGGGTGGACAGCTAAATCTGGCCAATCTCGACCCAACTTGATACAAGATGGTGTCTCTTAGATTCTTCTCTCCTCCTCGTACTGGCTTATTCTTTAGGTCCGCACGGAACATCAAAACTCGTCATTCATATATAAGCAAGGTGACTTCGCAAGGTCAAAGTATGAACAGAAATGCTTTGAGTCCCGGTTATTAAGCTCATCGTGATGAGGCAGAATATCACGGGGCACTGGTTCCAGTATCAAGTGGCTCTTGGGTCGCCAGGTGGCTTTGTGAGGGATTCATATGAAACATCATATGCTCTTCGGAGTGCAAGGATTTCTTCCAGCGATTTCGGAGAAAGTCTCACACAAAGACAAGAACGCGTTCCGAAAGGGAAAATCTTAATCGACAGTACTGGAAAGTGTCTCGTGACAGGTTCAGGTCTATGGATGTTTGGTTCATATGAGCTGAGTTCTTAGGTTTGCGAGAAGGTTTTCATCATGACACACCAGCTTTCAGATCGATCTGAAGGCTTTGAGCATTTTCATCAAGATGTTTGAAGACATTAAGATAATGCGTCCGGTGATGAAACGGTCCTGGAACGATGGCGGAGATTATGGCTACAATTGGTTCTGGTGTTGAGTGAAGCAGCGTTTGCAAATTCTCGAGGATATAAAGTGAGTCTACTCAAGCTCACTCCATCGACTTGTTGAACGTCAATTCTTGCTGCTTTTCTTTCAAATACTGTTGATAGTAGTTTCGAGGTCTTCTTGTTTCATTTGCGTCTGAGCCATATCCAGATTACTAGCACTCAAGAGGTAACGAAGTGATGGCGAGGGCCCTTCATTTAGCTCTGTTAGCAGCAATCTTTATTTTGACCACCAGCGCATACGACTTGGATCCTCGAGTGACAAAAACAGACACTTCAGATTCGTCGGATTGTAGTGATACTCTGCATTCTCTACTGTCGTGTCTGCCAGCAGTCGAAGGTGACGATCCAGAGGCTCCTACAAAGGAGTGCTGCACTGCTGTAGTGCATGTAAATGCTGACTGTCTCTGCAGCGCCCTGGGTGAGGGAGATACTGCTGGATTTCCAGGAATGAATATCGGTGCAGCTCTCTTGTTGCCAAGGAAATGCGGCCGTGTCGTCCCCAAAGGCTTCAAATGCGCTGGTATTCTCCTCTCTTTATCAGAACCACCAATTGGCCACAATGGGCTTAAAACAATTTAATGTTTACTGATGCCATGTGAAGAACCGTGACTTCTGTGCATAATTTGTTACCTTTGGTTCTCATGGTGGACTAGAGTGACAATGTGCTCTGTTCGGATCTTCTGATCCCACGTCAATACAGTGATTTCTGTTGACTACACAGGGCAAGAAATACTTTTATTGGCACTAACGATGTTCCACCATCTGTGGGTTCTCTCTCTATTTTAATATCTACCCTTCTGTTATTAATGGCAGACTGAAGTGACAATGTGTTCGGTTGGATCTTGTGGCTTCATTTCGATATAGTGGATCCTTGTGGCTGTCATGTACCTGGTCCAATATACTTTGGAGCTCTCGCATTTCTCCGCCTTCTAGTTTTTGTGTTCTATCTTAACTATTTTAACACAGAACCAGAACAGTGCCAGGTGTAATTTTGGAATTAGAGAGACCACAGAGAAAATTTGTATAGGAGCAACCTAAAGTAGGAAAACGAGCAGTAAAGAACCTGATCGATTTTCTTTCAACGCCTGTAATGACTCACAGGGTGCAAATTTCGTAACCTCAAGCTGACTCAGAGTACAGAGCATAGTCTGCATGCAGTGCAGGATTAGAACTCACCCTCTGGAAACACTAACAGAGTTTTCTGTTTGATCTATGCAGGACACCTTGTCCCTTCTCCATAGGCAACGGAATGCCTACAAGTTTATGTCTTTATTCAATTGGAGCTCGCTGGTACAGTCCAAATACATCTTCCAGATTGGAAGATCTTGCCATATCTAATTTTGCATTATTCTAGACCTTACAATTGATCTTCAGCTTCGTGCAACATTGAATACAATTGCAGCAGAGTGCAGAACATCTGCAACCTATGCTATTCAGAAGGTGCCACTTTAAATACAATCACCACAGATTGCAAAATTGTTGCAACCTATGATATTCAGAACTTGGATATAAATAGTCTCAATTTTCAGGGTTATTCTTTTTACAGAAGTGTGCAGTATCTTCAAATGGCCCAAATATTTGTCATTTGCGAACTTTCACTCTTGATTCTGTCGATACCTCTCGGTAAGCTCTATTCAAGGAGAGTCCATCTCCTTTAAGAATATAAGTAGGAAATGTGATTGCCAGCTGAATTCGTAAGTGCCAGTAAGGAGGTATTTGTTATCAGACAATTTCAGAACCCCTAGGTAGAGCGTATACTTTCTCCGCGTACACGGAGGCATTTGAGCTGTCAGAAGACTAACTGTCACTTCCTAGCGACAGGTAAGGTCGTCTTAATCTCTACGTCGGTCTTGTCAACAACTGTCATGAGTAAATTTCTTGAGGCTTCTTCGAGCTGGGTAGAGTAAATGTGTGTCCTGTATTTTCAGAGTCTTTTCATGTCTAATATGACAGTAAGAGCTATCCTTACAAGAGACAAAGCTCTGGGAGACAGTGAGAAAATTCCGGCAACCGTTCTTGGAGTCAAATTGTAGTTATCACACGTGGCTGTATTGTACCATCAGTGAAGGGCGGGAGGAAACACATTACAAAGTTTCATGCGAAGGTCTTAAGAGCAACTTCCTCATGTAAAAGTTAAGTGGTCAAACTGTCTTAGCAGCGAAGTTGGCACAAATACCAAATAACGAAAATAATATGATCGCTTAGCTTTTGCTCTCCTGTTAAGTTTATGCGTCTTAGGAATATGTCAGGGGAACATACATCCACTGCAATCCCTTTAATGGTGCCCTCGCCAGATTCATCAAGCGTGGTTCAAGGGATGAAAACACATGCGGACTAATCCACATGTCCCCCTACAAAAACAAGTCATCTTCTGTGGCTTTACTCCATCTTCTACTTCTTTGGGTGCTTTCTGCGAAAACTCATCGACATTTAATTTGTTGAAAAGTAACGATTTCATGAGTCAGGAGCACTGCAGAAATCCGACACACTTTCTGTTCTCAGATGACAGGAAATGTTGTCGAGCTTTCGGACGCCTCACTCACCACCAACTGCTCACCTCGTTGGCAACTTTGAAGTCTGCGTTTTTTAGACGGATCGACAGTGGCACATTCTCATTTGCACCAAGGCCTTCCGTTGTGAAGGCTGTGAGAAGCGTTCAGCTTGTCTAATCGTCTTTCCACTCCACAAATCTGAAAGAGACGACGCTTATCGCGACTTACAGCGTGCTAAATCGACTTGGAAGCAACACTGTTCCAATGGTATCCTCCGTTCCAAAATCAGCACGGAAGAGGTTTCAGAACGCCATTCAAGCGCACAGGTTCCATAGGTCACGTGATGCTCACCCCCAGCTCAGCACAGTCGAGGACGAGCCTCAAAAGGCGAAAGCACTTTGCTCGTCGAGGGCCCGCACGCGAATCGTGTTCCGATGAAAGTATGCGTGAGGGCCAGAATCGGGAATGCAAAGAAAGAACAGCCTCACCCATCCATGCAAGGAAGTAATCTCAATCATGACCCTCGCTGCAGTCCGGCTCATCGACGCAGAAGATGTCTCGACAGCGAAGGTCGGAGAAGAAGACGAGACCCTGGACCACAGATGCGCTCACACAAACAAACGAAGCGAGACGTGACATGCCAACTGGACCCCGGAGGTGTAGAAATTCCTCGCTCTCGAAAGCCCACACATTTGGCCCCCTCTGCAAAGCAAACGATTCGATACGATACGATACTTCGGGAGGAAGAGCTCATCGGCGCTGTCGCCCAGCGTGACCCGAGAAGAGAAGAGTTTTCAAAATGTGAAATGCGAAACTTCACATCTTCAGCTCCGGGTGTTGGAAATCCTCCGTCAAGAAGACAGACCTGAAAGAATGCTGAGAATGCTGCGGGAGTCCTGCACGATGCTCTCACGAACCCCAGCTCGGCATGAAAGTTCGGACGGCCGAGCGCGTCTCTGGAGAGTCCGCCACCTGCTTGCGCCGACCGCGATGGGAACCTCACGCGGGCTCCACAGGGTCGATCGCCGGGCTCGGAGCCAGGCTATGATGGAAGGACAAGTGGAAGGTTGACGTGCGCACAAAAGTACCGCACCTCCCCGCCGCGAGCAGAACGAAGGCCATCGGCATCAAATCGTACATTATCATTGATCCGCGATTATACTGTGAGAGTAAAATCCGCTCGCGCCCCCGTCAGATGCGTGGGATGTATGCGGAGGCCGGCGATTTTTCCACCTGCGCATCGTTGAGTCAACCGCTGTCGTCTTGGATGGAAGATTGTCGTCGTCTTAGGGTAATCAATGGCTCGCCACCTCCCCAACATAACTCCTCCGCACTGCTAATCAAATAACCCCTCGCACGACTCTGAGGCCGGTGCGTAGGCTCGCAACCCTACTCGCGCCTTTTGATACCGGCCAACATGTTTTTCGCCTCGCCCGCCCCCGCCCTCGCCCTCGCTAGCAGGAAATTTACGAGAAATTGAAGGGGGGACGAATCGAAAGAGTGTCGCCCGAATGGCACGTGGAAATGGGACACTTGTGGATAAAAAGGCTCCGAGCACGGGAACTTTGAAAAGGCGTCGACGCATTCGAGAGCAATCGAAGCCCTTTGCTGCGGCCTGACAGTGACGAGGCAGATGATGCAGTCCGTCCGCCGACCCAGCCAATGCGCGGGACAGTCAGTCGTATGCTCCCCAACCTTTTGTCCTTTGCGGCGTTGCGGGAGCTCATGAGATTCCCTCCCCGTACTTTCTCCGGCCAATGGCAGGCCCCGCACCATCACCAGCCCCAGCCCCATGTGGTGACGACGACGACGACGACGGCGGTGGTCCCTTCTCTCCCGAGCTCGAGACGAATCTCGTCGACGGTTCGTTGTCATGTACATGTTTTCTTTCCGCCGCGCGGAATGGACTCGAGATGGAGCAGTTCGACATCATGGACCTTATCTGCTTCTTCTGATCTCAGAGCCTTCCTCCTACCTCGCCCTTTGAACGCACCTCCTCCTTCTTCCTTCATTCCTTCCTCCCTCGGAAACTGACATTGTACAGCGTTGGAGTTTTCGACAGCTCACAATCTTGTGACGATCACTACAAAACATGCTGAGGATTATCCATAGACTCGACAAGTAGGCCCGATTCTGATCGATTTCACCGGCCAGTTTGCCCCAGATCGTGCGTTTGCGAATCGTAGGGGTGTTGTCCTCTCGATGTAGTTGAGTATGCTGATCTTACATGACCAATCTGCACGAGCAGAGTGGTCACACACATGATTACCTTGGGGCTGCTTTCGATGGAATAAAGGCTTTCCTTTAGCCAATTAATTTTTCACTTTCTTCGTAAGCAATTCTTCGTGTTTTGACTTCTACACAGGACTTCGGCGCCACCTCTTCGCATCCAATTGTGAACAAATTCCCAGTGTACCCGTCCTCCTTTACCCCACGCCTTTAGTGCCATCAATTCTTTGGTACTGTAAGAATTTCTATTAGAGAATTGACTCCAATTCAGACAAGTACTGCAGTACAAATGTGGTGTAATGTGTACATCGTTAGAATTAACTCGGTCTTGCAAAGGAATATTCAATGATGGGGCCAGCGAGACCTCTATGAGTAGGGCATATTGCCTATGACACAACATGAAGTCTGCTGTTCTGTCGTTGGCACTTCGAAGGCCTAGAGTACTTCTGATTCTCGATCAATGCACTGATAGCTTTTAGCTTGAGGCTGCCTAGAAGTGCTCAAAACTTTCAATCGATCCGTTCTGGATCCACTAGACTTGAATTGTAGACAGAGATTGAGCAGAACGAAGAACGACGAATATGATCATCTTTTGGAAAAACATCCCCATCGCTTCACCTCTTCAATCCTAGAGATTAAGTTGATAAGATTCTGGGTAAACTCCAGAGCCGAATCTCAGACTAATCATGCCATTTCTGTTGATTTCACATGAAACACACATACTGTGCATGGCTCATGACTTCAATCATGCCATTGGATGTAAGTCAGAGAATCCGTATCACAAACTAATGCTATAAAATTTACTACTGAGGATACTATTTAGCAATAAAAATAGTGAAAAATACATATATATTTCACATTATCCATATAAATATTCTTATATACGAAAAATTGCAAAGTATAATTTACTAACAAGGATACTATTTAGCAATAAAAATAGTGAAAATTACACATATATTTCACATTATCCATATAAATATTCTTATATAAGCAAAATTGCAAAGTATAATTTACTACCAAGCATGACCACCACATAGAAGATAAACTATTTTCCATTCAATTTCACTTTATGATTCAAAGATGACTTGAAAGTCACTATTATTTCTTGTCAAAATCATACCATACAGACATGCATTCCAAAGAGTTCTATTTTATACTTTCTCCCTTTGAGACTTAAAACTTTTCTTTTGAAATTGCGATTATGTGCGAATTGACATTCATTCTCATTTTTCCCTTATTCTGTATATATTCTATCAACTTAGCTAAGGAATGATAAGGTTAAACAAATCATGGCATCTATGGTATGAACCTATATCATAAGAACACATATTATAATGATATGAATATTTCACCATATAGACAATAATACATCAATTCAAAACTTTTTACGAATTGATGTATTCCAATCTACATAGCGGATTATTTGATATGGCAATAATGTATATTACAATGCAATGTATGAATACTCATGTTCTCGAAATATAGAGTACTAGAGCAAGTTATCTTGTTAGCTTTATAAAATGAGACTTAAATCTCATAACATCTTAAACAGATCTGAAGAGAAGAAGAAGAATTTTTATTTAAGGTCCTTTCAAGCTAAAATTTGGAAGTTTAGAATTGAAATTGCATCCATGAAGAAAATCTCGTAGATGAATTTTAATATTTAGAGTAAAAAACAAATGTAGCTCATATGATATTCATTTTTTCATATGATGAGGAAAATGTATATTTGACATTTGAAGATGAAGAAAAATCAATTGCAATACACTTGTGAGATCCTATGATGAAATGTATGATTTTAATTGTTTCATATTATTTTTATTTACTATGATACATGACTTACTAATGGGTTTTTGAATATTTTTCTATAAAAAAAATAATTTAACTAACAGTTCTAAGTTTGTCTAGAAAAATTTGTGATTTTCCAAATCATAAAATTATGTCACGCGGAGAAACTCGAGATATCGCTCACGTATTGAACACATTAGCAATTTACAATGTTCGAAACGTCAAGACTTGCACGCCGCTTTAAGTAGATCGTAATCACTGGAAGCCACGGACATGATACTTTGAACCCACCTTAACGGGCAGCGCGTCACTAATTCATCACCAGCAGATGATGAATTAGTGACGCGTCATCCACAAGGGTTACACATACACCTAATGCTTACCAAATTAATTATGTTAAAACTTCACATCATGTATTATTTCAGGATTTTTCTTAAAATTCAAAATTTATTATATTTCAATTATAAAATTAAATTTTATATTTGAGGACTTGAATATATACGTAATCTTAAATTTTTCTCACGTCAGATTAATATATCTTTCACGTATGCCATGATGTTAGAATCGTAAAATCTTGTAACAATTCTAAACATCTTGATTTAATTATTTTATTATTTAAATTAATTATTTAAATTTATTTCAATTAAAAAATAAAAATCTGTTTTATTACTGATTTTTTAACTACTCATCACATTTTCAATTAAATGTTTACATAATTCTATTATCTATATGATTTAAATCTAGCAATTCATAGCATTTTTGTAATCTCAACCATGTAACTCGACATCATCCGAAGAAATATATAATAAATTGCTAGTCACTTTTAACATTGTTTACAAACAATACATGCTTTAGATTGAAAGTATATGGTAGAAAGTATATGGTCAATTCTAGAGCATTCTATAAAGTATTAAGCTAATAGAAAAATTATTATGATGCAATGAAGAAAAAATGTAGATTATTCAACATTAGAAATCAAGCAAAAATTCAATATACCAAATTTATCTGAACCCTAAAAAAATGCAATAATTTGTAATCTATTTTGAAATATTAATAAAGACAAGTAACATTTTTTTTAACTTATTAAGTTTTCATCTTCAAAAGATTTAAGTATGCATATTATCATCTGCAATTCATACTTATTTTGAATTTGCAATCAATCGTTTAAAATACATGTATAACTCTTTATCATAAATTTGAATACAATTAATAATCAGAATTTTTTTAAGAGTTTCAATAATCATAAAAAGTATAAAAATATTTTTTAAAAATACACGCGTTATTAAATCACATAAATCTCATGTAAATATTAAGTTTTGAAAAATAAATGAACATTTTACAAGATGTTATTTATAATATTGTGAATTCTTGTATTAAAATTAATGAATTGAAATCTTAAAAATGCTTATAATAGTTTTTATCAACTTTTTGAAATATTTGATTCTTTTAAATTCAATTAATTTCGAAAATTTTAATCATAAATGATAAATATAGATGCATATTTTTCAAAGTAAATGATTGAAAGAATATATTGAAATATTTATATATGTGATTTTGTGATATTTTCTTTTTATGTAACTTTATTTCAAGCATATAAAAGTCATCATTTTTGAATTCTATTGCAACAAGTTTATCAAATATCCATTACAAACAGATTATACATTGATGATAATATTATAATCTATTCAACATCTTTCTAGTTAGCAAGCTAAATTTTATGACGTTCTATATCAATATCTTTTTCATGTTTTATGATTTATTATTTTCAAAATTATAAACTTAGATTTTATGTACATAATAATCATAAATAAGATGGTTTTTTTCTATAGGCACTACTTTTTACATTTATTTTTTATTTTATACATCATTTTCATATCAATAATCTAAAAAAAATTTGTTTCATTATATTCTGTTAAATAAATAAATAAATAAATAATTTATTTATTTATATCCTCTCAACCTATTTACATCTATATTGTGTCATGAATATTCTAAATTATTCTGTTAACAGATTATATATTCTTTGAAGTGTCTTGATCATCAAAATGAAAATATGTTTCATGTGTTTTTAGTATAAAATTATATATTAGATTTTTACTTTGCTCACATACACGAGTAAATGTGGCTATTATCATTTTTATTGGCTAAGGAATATTTCTAGTCTAAATTCAATCATCAGCCATATCTTTATTCACCAGAATATCCTTTTATAATAATAAATAAACATGTTATATTTTATAATATCATAGATATTATTATAAAACATACAATATAATGAAATTTAAAATCGTAATCATATTCTATTATATTCAATCAAAATCTTTTATCATTTTCATATCATTCATGTCTGCATAAAATTTGATGAATGGAATAATTTTGTATTTTTCATATTCTTGAATATAAATAAATAGAAATAAATAAAAGTCCTTATATAAAATAAAATCGTAGTTGCATGAAATTAGTTGTAAAGTGATCCTCTTTACATGAACAAAAGCAGTGGCAATGTATATGTATGATGTAAAAAGGCATTCATGCTTATATTGAAAATTGTGCATCTTTCTTTTAACATGATGATATTATTTTAAACTCATAAGATGAGATATGTTGTATTTTTTTGGTTGACTTCTTATAAAAATCTCTTTGGATTTTTTATTAGATTCAAAACTATGCAAATATAGCCTCATTATAGTATTTATAAGATTATATGATTTATAAACGTTTTTTATGATAAATAAATAAATAATATTCCTGAAGATGATATTATTAACGTTTATATAAGGAAAAATATTGCTCACATGTATCATCTTGATATATCACATTTATATATAATTAATTAAAATGTTTTCAATCTTCTTTTGCTACATGTGATAGATCATGATAAAGGAGTAAATGAAGTTAAAGAAAACTTCACTGAATGGAGTTATTTTCTACCTTGCGGTCTACTTGGTGAGGAACAAAAAAAATACATGTTAGACAGAGAATATTTGCAAAGACAAAGATTCTCCAAAAGCAAAGGTGGCAGTGGATCGCGATTCAACTTGTAGCGTGAGGGAGATCATTTAAGTTCATTGTAAAAATGATTTAACTTAAAGGGATGAATTCTCCTTTTTCCTCATAATGAAGACATGTTGTGTCCCCACACATACTTACCAGATTGTAGCCCATCAAGTTGACATCAAAAGCTTGTGGTTTGGTTTTACTTACTACACATGGGTATCAATTTCATTTTCCTAATTGATGATGAAAAATAAGAAAAGTTCATCTTTTATA